CCGCCGGAATCGGAAAAAGTTCATTTTCCGGCGACTTTGACCGGCGGGCGGCGGCGGCGGGGCCTAGAAGAAAAGAAAAGAAGAAATGGGGTCAAATTGAAAATTTTAAAATATATAAAATTCGAATTTGGCCCTAATGACCGGAAGTTAACCTAGAAACGGGCTAATGGCTCATTAGTGAAAGGATTGTGTAAGTTCAGGGATTTTTGTGAAAGGATTTGAAGTTCAGGTACCACTTCGAAATTCCAGCTAAAGTTCAGGTACCATTACTGAAATTTACCCACAGTTCAAAAGAAACACTTTTTGGTTTTCCCAATTCCCATTCCATTATGAGTGAGAATATCATGAGTATGCAAAATGATTGCACCGATTCAAAGAACCTGTTTTTTTTTTCAAATAATGAAAAAATTCTTTCAGCTTTTTTGTGGGTCTAAAGAATATTGTTAATTTTTTTAAAATGAATACTATAAAACTCATTTAGGCGAAGACAGAAAGTTACCAAGATTTTATTTGACGTTTGATTTTAATATTTTAAAAATGTTCCCTAACAACAATTTTTTATTTTATATATTAAAGATTAATCTACGTTAAAATATCATCTAAAACACTAACATTAAACAGGCTTTATATGTTAAAAATAAGACCCAAAAATAAAGTTTCAAAAAAACCTAAAATAGCATATAGTGCATGCATAATTATTAGGTACTTTAATTTTATAGTACTCGGAGTAATATATATTTACGCCTTAGAGGCTGTTTGTTTCAGCCTCTTAATGGTTCAGATGTCTGAATGGTTCAGCACTTAATGGTTCAGACTGTTTGTTTCAGCCTCTTAATGGTTCAGATGTCTGAATGGTTAAGAGATTTGCCTCTGAATGGTTAAGTATTATACAGAGTCTGAATGGTTAAGACCTCTTGTCTGAATTGATCAGACATTTGCCTCTGAATATTTAAGCAATATACTAGCTCTTAATGGTTCAGACCTCTTACTGGTTCAGCACTTAATGGTTCAGACCTCTTACTGGTTCAGCACTTACCCATTCAGAAGTTGCCAAACAGCCCCTTAGTTGAATAAGAGGCACGTGTAATAGACTGTGTGAAAGTGCCTTTCTCCTGGTGATGTCATGAAATTTGAGTCAAATTTGAATTTGAAATCCAAATCTAAGTTCCCAAACACACCAGTAGTATATTTTCATTTATTTTATTTTTTAGTTTTAGTTTTATTCATTTGTTAGTATAAGTAAATGAGAAAATAGGCAAACAAAATTGCATGAACAACAGAAAAATATTTCATTCAATTCTGACTTCTCAACGAAACAGGGCCTAACCGGGAAGACGTGGTTTCACGGAGTATTATCACCTCAGACTATCTTTCGCCCAAGAGCGACTCGAAAAGAGCAACCTCTTCTTCCTGCAATGAAAATGAACCTTCAAATTTTGGAAATATTTGATTCATTAATGAATTGCTAACAAGTTGCATTCAAGAATTCAAAACAAAAATACCACTAAAGCATTGAATTCTGTCTCCTCATCAACTGCACTTGCAATTTCTGGGTCTTCCAATAGCTCCTGTTTTATCAAATCAGTATCCATTATCATTATTACTCAATCTGAGCTTTAGTGCAAACAAAAGCATTTATTTATCACACTTCTCGTGGTGCACATCATCCCTTTGATATGTTGTTTTACTTTTACATACTGTTTCATATAAGGATATGTTAGTAATTTCACAGGGACCGATGCACACCATGGTGTACGGGCGTATCCCCATGAGGGGTTTCAATGGAAAAAGATGTGTTTGCACTCGCAATGAAAGGTAGAACACAATGGCGATTAATCAATGCATTGTTGCATCCAGAAGAAATATGAAGCATAAGCATTGGCCAAAGTCAGTTAAAAACTTGAACTTTCAGTAAAAGATGCAATAAGGGCCTGCTTGGTCATGGTTATTTGTATGAAATGACTGAATCTGTTGAAGAAAAAGGTTTTGGTAACATTGGGTATGGAAAAAATTGTGATCAAACCAATCTTGGAAGGAAACATATTTCTCTTCAAATAAAATGAGAGCATATTTCAAGAAACTAATGAGTGTAATTAATGAGAGATAACAACAGCATGCACCGCTAGGAAATTAATATACTCCGTATGAGTTATCAAAACAAGATTTACTTACATCATCTGCAATTCGAAATACACCATCTTTATCCTGCAGTAACAAATTCCAGAGGAGAGCAAAACACACATGAGTCATGAGGTCCTCCATCGAAGTAACAGAATACTTGGGTAATCTAGTTGTGAATGTCATCGAATCCAGACCACGTTTCATAGCAGAACTAGACAAATGATTGATAGGCAGATTGTGCAAGGCTATTAAAAAGTCTTTCTGACCCTGTGCAATCTACTTTGTCCTAAAGGAAGTTTTGTCTAAACCATTTGCATCAAGGCATGTGACAATGATCTAAGAGACGATTTTGATCTGGTTAATCTTGTATCACCTTAAGGTTATATTACTGCATGGGAATGTAAGGTCAAATTTGCTTGTGTGGTTCATATTGAGGGGAATATAAGGTAACCTAAGATTTTTTTTGTCAATCTACAGTATTTTTAAGGGAGAATTGGAATATTAACAAGTAATCTCACAATACCCAAGAAACCCAATGTAATGAAATTTCCCCATATATTATCCCACTAGTCTATGTGTCAACAGTATGATATTACTACGGTAATATGATAACCTGGATCAAAGTTACACTCACCAATACTACCTCCACCCCATTAAAAGTCCATGTTTCCAAAAGGTACAAGTTTTTAATTTTAGTAAGGTACAACCTTTGGAAACCATCGAATATAGCTACTCTGTATATCTTTTAATTAATTTGTTGGTTTAACTAAAGCTAACACACTCAACTTGTTTGAGACACTTCTTAATTCAAAAACCATTTCATATTATAAATATTAGCTTATTTTCTTCACAGAGGACTCTTTTTAAGACAAAAATAGGTTTCCAAACAGGACTCTATTTGGAAAGGGAAAAAGTATAGCATTTTCATTGTCAACTTACCCAGTTAATCCCAGATGAGCTGAACCAAACGCTGCCTAACGGTTTTAGAGGTGCATTTGGTCGTCTTTATGGTAAATGAAAATCCATAGATGACCAATTGGAAATGGTTTCTAGGAGACTATGACATTCGTATACAAATGTGATATGATACAAATAATACAATACCTTTGATGCAACAAAAAGTAGTGGATCTGAGGGTGTGTAAATCATGTAGTGAGAACCGTCCTACATAGAGAATACCAAAGCTTAAATTTCAACAAGAAAAAAAATGCATAGCCCATGCAAACTCAGGTAAACTTTAATCCAGTCCATGTCAGTTGAAGGAACTTCAAGTTAAAAAATTCCAAATCCGTCAAATGTTTAAAAAAACATCCAAACATCATCAGCACGTTTAAACACATTTATTATGATATATAATTCACTCTATTCCATCTAAAAATGGATTGAATCTAATCTACACATAATATAAAGAAAACAATAATTCTAATATAATGAAAACAATATTCTAATATATGCACTGAACTCCCTCCGTCCCTAGAAAAACATCACACTTTGGTTTGTATTTTTGTGAAACTTTCCTTGTATGCCCATTAAAAAGATAACTGACAACTTTTAAGTAGGAAAAGCAAGAGATGGAAGAAGTAACATGTTTTTAATTGAAAAGAGAGATCAAGGGGGCAAAGCAAATGCAAAAGAAATCAAATTTCTTGAAGAAAAGTATACAGTGTATACATTCTTAAAGAAAGAGGAAAGTTTGGATATGAATATAATGCTCATACTAATGTCTTAGTGATAAAAGAGGACTGCCAATGACCTATTAATGTCCTAGTGATAATGGTCCACTAATGCCACAACGAAAGTAAATCACCCAAATATTAGGTAGGAACAAACAACAAAGTGCAGCTCAAATGGCAAGACACTTCAACTACACATAATATGTTGTAGGTTTGAATCACTGAGCCTCTGTCCTCTGATATCACAAAAAACAAGCAAACAAAAAAACAGCAAAGCCTATGTCGACTGACTCCTAAAATTGGGCATCCTATGCCCACTTAGCATCTATGCCCCATCTAACAGTCACCTTCGAGAACCCTACACTATGATTAAGCTAAAGTTTTGTTCTGTATTTCACAAAAATTGCAGTACAAATTTCACCAAGACAGTGAGACAAAATATTTACAAAGCTTCGATCCCTAAGGCGCTTTTGAACTTTGAAGAAGTTCTTGATATCCTCTGCCAAATTATTTATACAAGTCTTGTTACTTTTGAAGTAATGGAGGTTTAAAAGTTAAAATAAGTTCTGAAGGCCTAACATTAGAAACACTCCAAGTGAGCTTATAATTATGTACTCAACATCAACATAACCCATTTTGCCTATAACACATACTCCGTATATGTCAAATCTAGTCATGAAAATGTTACACCACTTTACCAAATCAATGCAGCTTTCTAACATAACAGATAACCAGACTTACATGATGGAAGCATGTGATTTCAACTCCTTCAGTAGGCACACCATCTGTGCTCTCACCATCATCTGCAGAGGTGCAAAAAACATTATAATCTAGAGTTTGTATTTTTTTAATTTACTATCTTATGCAAACCAACCTGTCCATTGCCAATGAAGAAGCTAAAGAGTCATTTTTGACAATTTTTTAGCGTTGGGTAAACAATGGACAAAATAATATGGCACATTAAGCTTCCCTTGCTCCTTACATCCTATTTAGTTTTGGACAGTAAATGCATAAAGGGTTTAACAGAAACAACCTCCCTGTTCTTATATGGGGTGACTGGTGAGGTTGTGTATATCTCGACCCCAATAAAGTTGAGATTATACGGGATTTGGTGTTATTGTTGAAAAGGTTGGGAAACTTGGGATTATACTAAATTTGTTGTTTTCATTGTTTATTTACTCTCTTAACAAGCTGAATACTTGCCAGAGAAGATTGTTTCAAAAAACTTGGAGCCTACTCACTGACAAGTGGCAATACAATTCTCTCTCCTCTATGCATGTATGATGTATTGCTTCATTTCTGCTTTTAATAATAAGAGAGCATAAAAATTCATAGATTTCTTATGGAAAACTGAAAATGGGTGAACAATATCCAGAAATTGGGCTTTTACAATTGCCAAAATTTTAATTCGGAAAGCCAGTTTACAGTTATTAAATAATGAAAATCAAATATTATGAAACTGTTTATGATTTAAGATAATACTACCCATGCTTAGATAAAAAATGTCATCCTCTGCATAGCAAAATCCTCCACGGGCAGTAAAGCAAAACCTGGTTAAATGGGAAGAAGTGAAGATACAAAAAACAAGGGGAAGTAATCAATCACGACAAAAAATTGATACATATATATATTTCATAGTTGCATACCCACTATGTACAAGATGCAGGTGAATCTTGGCAAGGGCATAGGCTGCGGTAGGGAGGATGGTGTCAAGTTCTTCGTCGCTGACCTATAACACATATGTGCTCATAATTTGGATATATATATATTTCCTTGCACTTTATCGCAAATGATGACATAAGCATGCAGTTTTTTCTTTTAAATGGCGCTTGTTCATGGAATATGTTTGGAAAAGCCATGTATGGGTCTTCAGCCACAAATATGGAGTTTTGTAATGCTACAGATATTTGTGAAGAAAACATACCAAAACAAATGTCAAGACAAGAACTTAGGGTAGAACAAATTTAAATTTATGCTAAGACATACAGCTGACCACCCCTCGATATTTGTGCTCTTCATGATCATAACAGGCCTGGGAGTATGATTTTATTTGTGAGATGTAGTTCATAATGGAAAAAAGCATGTTAAATGCTTTCAATGGATGCAAAGCTGGCTATCATATGGTAAGCTAGTTAGTACTTACATATCAACAGGGCAGAGCAGCATGCACTCAACTCCATGTGTACTTCTGAATACCCTCCTGATAACACATTCTAATGGTAAATTATTGGAAGGATCCACCTGTCAACCCAAGTCTAAAGAATAATGAAATCCAATCAAGCATTATGAAATATAATAAAATATGAATAACTATGCAATGCCGGGGAGGGGGGGGGGGTTCAAGAGAGAATATAAGTGAAGTGTATAGAGTGGAATACACAAGTCAAGCCATATGTGTAATTGTGTATGAAATGATTATCACTCAAACAAGTTATTAGCGAGCAGTCGGGCACCCATTCAACTGGTCATAATCAGCATATATTAGTAACTAGAACCACAATACCTAACATTTCTAGTAACAGTCCAAGTCACAGCCCATGAAAGATCTAAGCATATGTAAACCAACGCTCGGGTTCCAGGCTATTAAAATTAAAATTTTCCACATGTATGCTGCAAAACACATCACCCTGAACTAAAGTTGTAGGGTAGTTGGACTACCGGGCTGACCTCAATGATTAAAGTTGTGAGTAGTTCATTACAAGGCATTTCTTTCTTTTGCTTCGTGTGGTTAGGGTTTAATGGGATATGGCCCTTTATTTGTTCCTTGGTAGCATATCTTTCTCCACTCTCTAGTGTTCGATTTCTGTTTACCTTTACTTTTACGGGTTCGACTATTCTACTTTGTGTCTTTTGTTCTTGTGCCTCTCAAGCTTTTATAGGGAGTGCTAAGGCCTGCATTCACCCACCCACAGACCCCAATCATGGAATATAACTAGGTAGTTTTCTGCTGCAAAAACCTATTTCTCTAAAACCAAGTATTGGACTGACGGTCAACCATTATAGCTTTCTCTCCCATACCAAGACAACTACGTAAAGCTCCACTTTGGTTCCCACTGACAATGGTTATGATGATAATGAGTATAAGTATGGATCACTAATAATATGTAATCAAGTCCAATTTACTCAATGATTGTTAGAGTAAAAATTTAGCTGGGAGACTCACAATTGTAAACAGGCGTTTGTTTGAAACCATGAGAACCCGGCCTTGCTCATCCAGCACAAAGCCGGCGGGAGGATTCGGCAGCTGCGGGTAACCTCCAGAGGGCGTCGGAGCTCTGTCATGAGATTCGCCCTCGGAATCTTCATAAATCTCGTCAGCTTCCAGGACTGTACTGCTACTCGGACTCATCTTCTTCTTCATCTTCTTTGATTTGGAATTCGGCCGCTTCTTCACGGGTCCCGGATGCTGCTTCGCAGCCGCATTGCAACACATCCTTAGCGGCCTGTGGTGATGAGAACTGGAAAATGGGATTGAAATCGGAAATGGTGACTTGAATTGTGAGTTGTGAGATGAGGTTTGAAGAAGAATTGAAGAAGTAGACGATGTAGAGATGCAGGAAGCCATGGCTGATGCGAGCTCTTAGAGCATACCACGGTAATTGGGAGTGCGGAGTAGGGTGCGAGAAAATTGGTAAGGTACCCATCATGTTTATATTTTGAGAAACTAAATGCCGGGTACCTCATATTTTTAAAATATATTTCAGGATACCTCTAAATATACATTAACACATAAGGGATATTTTGTTTCATTCGAAAGCTTCGATGAAACTCGATAGATTGTATCATTAAAGTATAAAAACTAAGATTATTTATTTGGAATTCCAAACCTCTAATTCTTAAAATTAATGGCGTAACTGGCTTTGACGAAGTGTGAAACGAGATGTCTTTCATGGATAAGTTAATGTATATTTAGAGGTACCCCAGAATATATTTTAAAAATGTGAGGTACCCGATACTTAGTTTCTAAAAATGGAGGGCACCTCGGAGTATATTTTAAAAATATGAGCTACCCGACAGTTAGTTTCTCAAAATATGGGGTACCCAGGAGTAATTTTCTGGAAGGGTGCTGCTAAATATGATTACTGTGTAACTCCGCCATATTAGGCTACGCGGTGTGGCAATAGAACGTTCTCTTTTGCTAAATACGATTACTGTGTAACTCCGCCATTTTGATGTTTACTACGGAGTATATCTAGAATCCAAAAAAAACATCTTTTTTTAATTACAATATGAGAGGGAGCTTTTCTGCCTCTAGTTATGCTACATTTAGATAAGTTATAGTTAGGGGTGTAAACGAATCGAATCGAAACGAATATCGATATATTTGAATTTGTATTTGTTTAATTTTTTCGAATTCGAATCCGAATCCGAATATGAGACGAATTCAAAATAAGATTTAAATAAGTATTTGATTAATATTTGAATAGTTATCGAATCATAAACGAATATTTAAATAATCATACTATGTAATTTATATGATGGACCAACATAATTTGTAATTTAACTTACGATACTCTTTATACTATACTATATTCCGTATATAAAAACATTAATACATTTGCATCTTACACAAATTATATTTTATAAAATATAACTATTAAAAATTATATGCTTTAGATTTTCGTGTTACGTTAATTTATTGAATTCTTAGTATTTAAATACACTTTATACTATATTACTTTGCTTGACTTTTGATGTTGAAAANGAATAGTTATCGAATCATAAACGAATATTTAAATAATCATACTATGTAATTTATATGATGGACCAACATAATTTGTAATTTAACTTACGATACTCTTTATACTATACTATATTCCGTATATAAAAACATTAATACATTTGCATCTTACACAAATTATATTTTATAAAATATAACTATTAAAAATTATATGCTTTAGATTTTCGTGTTACGTTAATTTATTGAATTCTTAGTATTTAAATACACTTTATACTATATTACTTTGCTTGACTTTTGATGTTGAAAAAATGGTCTGTATATATATACATATATTCGAATATTCGAATATCATCCGAATCGAATATATCCATATTTGTATTTGTATTTGATTAATATTCGAATCAAAAATAATATTTGAATTTGAATTTGTATTTGAATAGCGCGAATTCGAATCATCATATTCGAATACGAATCGCGAATCGAATTTAAAATATTTGATTTGTTTACATCCCTAGTTATAGTCCCCCCTTAGTGTCTAAAAAAGGTAAGCGTAACTCTTCTACAGGAGATACAATTGTAAATTTACACAATGAACTTGCGATGTATCAAAGCGTTGCATAACTAATACAACTGTAAATTTGAATAATGAAGTTGCGATGTATACAACTGTAAATTTGCACAATGAATTTGCACAAGAAGTAATATAATTATATTTCTTTATTAAATAACTAATAAAAATAAATTAAAAGCAATAATTAAAGTTTAATCACGTGAATGATAATTAAGAAAAATGATTTATAAGGGAGAGAGTATTTCTTGTTTATTGAAATAAATTACCGTATCATGAAGATACAAACTTACATATCGATGAGAATTGAGATGATGAGATCCATTCATTTTTTTGGTAGAGCAAAACAAAAAAAGAAATTGGACGCAAAAACGGAGCAAAAGACAGAAAAAGAATGAAATGGTCGCACGTCAACGTCACTGACTCGCACGACGAGGCAACGAAGGCCCCCTTCAATTTCCCCCCATTTTCCCTTTTTTATTTTTTTGCCCATATTATTACCCTTTCTTATCATTATTTTACTCCGTATGTTTTTTTTGAATAACCCCCCCAAATACTTTCTATTTTGACTCAAGTCCATCCTTTGTCCCAACAAAAGTTAATTTAATTGGATACTAGTCCCCATGTCACCTGATGAGGATGATATGAGTATGAGGTATTTACAATACTTTGTTCAGAAAATCGATAGTTGTTACTATTAAATCTCTTGATAAATCTATACTATTTGATCTGAATTGACTCTCACACCCTCCAATTTCATCCACAAAATTTAGTTGTCTTTGGAATCAAATTTTGACACCAAAATTAACTGAATTTTATGGGATATAATTGGAGGTAGTCGGTATGGATCGGGCCGTGGTGAAGGGTTTACGGAAGGGTTTGAAGAGGTAGCAACCATTAAGTTTTTGAATGAAACACCGTAGTTACCTCGGGTCACCCTATGACATTGAAATCCAACTTCACTTGAATTGGGGTGCAATTTATATAATCTTTTAAAAAATGTCGACGAGTAAAAGTATAATTACAATTTCTTTAGGTGAAAGAGTATGAAACATATATGATTATATGGAGTATTTAATAAATGAAATGATTTTCTCTTGGATTGATTGTTTGAGTGGTTGAAAATTTATTCTCTTCGATTCATAAGAAAGTTCAATTAGTTTTGAGTCTAATCGGATGTAGAGACATAGACTCATTGTACGTCATTAAATTGAGAAAAGTATAAACAAATACGTAGTATTATTTTGTAATTGAGCTTTAGTCTCTAATGTACTCTATAGTTTATAAAACTTCTTTCTTCTAGAGTTTTCTTTCCATCAAATTTAATACCTTAATCATTAATATTTCAATTTATATATATCATAACACAATAAATCTTTCAATATTTTGCGGCCAAAGATTTAGTACAATGACCAAAAAAAGTGAAATAAAAAAAACTTGACAAAAGAGGTAAATAAACTATTTTTTTTTGAAGAAAGAAACATTAACATTAATTCAAGAAAAATAATAAATTAAGACATCAATAATTAAATAAAATTATTTAAAAACACCATCAATAAAATATTGTAAATCTTTATTTCATAAAATAAGTGGTATAGAGGGATTATATTTTCGGACACTGCTGCGCAAGTCGTACCAAACATAATTATAAACGGAAAAAATTTTAAAAAATAAAATAAAAATATGGATAAAAAACTGAAAATGTGAAAAAAAAAATAATCATTTCCATTCTTTACTGTGGCCACTCCACTACCACCACCACTCTCTCTTTCATCCCAAACACAACAAAAAAAGAAAAGAAAAGCAAAAGCCACTCTCTTCTCTGACAATTATTTCCAACAACTCGCCGGCAATGTTGTCGGCTCTATCGGTTCCGGCCGCCCTTCTCCGTCACCGGTAGCACATTTTCCCCCCGTTCTTTCTTTCACCTCACACTGCTCATCATGCGCGAAATCTCTGTCAGTTTTTGTGCAGACGACGTCGCGAAAAAGACTGGTCTGCGAGCTAAGGGAGGAGAAGAGGACGTCGATGTGGTAATCCTCCCGCCGTTTGCGGCGGCGGAACAGGAATCCGCCTTCACCGGCACTGCGTCCGAGCGGGTGCTTCCCAACGGAGATCTGTACACCGGCACATTCGTGGGGAACAGGCCGCACGGCAACGGGAAGTATCTCTGGTCGGACGGGTGTATGTACGAGGGCCAGTGGAGGAGAGGGACGGCGAGTGGGAAGGGCAAGTTTTCGTGGCCGTCCGGAGCTACCTACGAGGGGGAGTTTAGGGCTGGGAGCATGGAAGGTCAGGGGACTTTCATCGGAGCCGACGGCGACACCTACCGCGGTCGGTGGTTGGCGGATCGGAAGCACGGATTCGGAGAGAAGCGGTACGCGAACGGGGACTTGTATGTGGGGTCGTGGAGGTGTAATTTGCAGGACGGGGAAGGGAGATACGTGTGGAGCAACGGGAACGAGTACGTCGGAGAGTGGAAGAACGGGGTGATGTCCGGCAAAGGGGTTCTGATTTGGGCGAACGGGAAGAGATACGAAGGGGACTGGGAGGACGGAAACCCCAAAGGAAACGGAGTTTTCACTTGGCCGGACGGGAGGATCTCTTATGCCGCCGGGGATAACAGCTCCTCCTGTCAAGAGTTCAGCAGCAGCTGCCATGGCCGGAGGGGATCGTCGGTGAGCTGGACTAATGCCAGTGACCGGAACCTCAACGTTCCTCGGATTTGCATATGGGAATCTGAAGGTGAAGCTGGGGATATCACTTGTGACATTGTAGACCCAGTGGAGGCCTCTTCTGTTTTGTACATTCAAAGGAATGAGGATGAAGGGAGCAGTGAGAGTTCAGAAGGTGATTACAGTCTTGAATTACGGAAAAGCCCCTGTCGATCCGAGGGAGTGGAAATGAAGAAACCAGGGCAAATAATATCAAAGGGCCATAAGAATTATGATTTGGTGGTCAGCCTTCAGCTGGGTATAAGGTAATAAATACTCCTTGGCTTAAGTAGTAATTGTCAATCAATGTCTTGTTGAGAGAAACAAATGTTATATTATTCATGTTTGTCAAAAAATGAGCAGGTATTCTGTAGAAAAGCATGGTCCAATTGGGAGGGAATTGAGGAGTTCAGATTTCGATCCATATGAGAAGTTCTGGACTCGGTTTCCACCCGAGGGATCGAAATGCACTCCGGTCCACCATGCCCCTGACTTCAAATGGAAGGATTATTGCCCTGTGGTTTTCAAGTAAGCATGTTCATGAGGCATTCAATGCCTTGCCATTTTTTTTTGTTTTTGTTTCTGATGGTTCGCAGAAACGTGTTGTGATAAATTCTTTTTGTGGCATTTTTAGGCGACTTAGGGATCTGTTTGGAATCGATTCAACTGACTATGTGGCAGCTCTTTGTTCAAATGATGCACTTAGAGAAATGTCTTCTCCCGGTAAGAGTGGAAGTATCTTCTATCTAACTCAGGACGATCGGTTCATTATTAAAACCGTGAAGAAATCTGAAGTCAAGGTTAGTACATGGCTTCTTGATGTGAATGGACTATACTCCATCCGTTTCAAAATAAATGTCACTCTAAGAAGAAAATTCTGTTACATGTTACTTTCTTTGTTCTGTTTTCAACAGGAATTAAACTGTTTTTTTCCAACTATACCCTGGTTGTGATGACCTAATTGACTGTTATTCAAAGGGCAATGTGGGTTTTTTATATGCACGAGTTTCATAATCTCAACCTTGAACTTGGGTGACAGATGCCTTGAAATGGAGTGTGTATATTAGTTATTTATGAGATAAACGATAGAGGAAGTGACATTGAGATTCTATGATTTTGTTCAATGCACAATGGCAAACATGTAATTCTTTGTCGTTACAGGTGCTCGTTAGAATGTTACCAAGTTACTACAAGCATGTTACTCAATACAAAAACTCATTGGTCACGCGGTTCTTTGGGGCTCACTGTGTGAAGCCGGTGGGATGTCCAAAGGTATGTTATTGAAGTGGTAATAAATTAAAAAAATTCCTTATTGTTTGTTATAGTGCTTGGGGTTAGGAGGGGGTGCAATTCGTGCATTCAAACAAGTGTCTTTTCTGTGAACTTACTCCTTACAGTTTTAATATATTGAAATAAAATGGAATGCCAGACCCGTTTCATTGTAATGGGGAATATGTTCTACTCCAAGTATCGCATCCATAGACGGTTTGATGTGAAGGGGTCCTCTTATGGGCGCTCAACGGATAAGCCCGAAGGGCATGTTGATGAGACAACTACCCTAAAAGACCTTGATCTCAATCTTGTCTTTCACCTTCAAAGATCCCGGTTCGAAGAGCTTATCAGGTGAATGAATGCTTATTCTACTATTATTATTAAACTATACTCCTATTATATATTATTATTAGTAAGAACCAACATATGTTTCTATTTGGGGTCAGTCATCAAGGGGCAAACAAGTAATTGCATTGTTTCCCTGCTCAGTCAAATCAACAGGGATTGCCAATTCTTGGAAGCTGAGAATATAATGGACTACAGCCTCTTGATTGGTGTCCATTTTTGCAATAACTCCAGCAGTAATGGTACAAGTGGTGGATTGTCTCCTGATGATTGTTTTGGTATGTTAATATCTATTCTTAAACAGGCCAATAGAATTTCCTTAAATGCAATTCTTAGACAATGTTGCTTATGTGCCAGAGATGAGAGATGCTCGGGAATATTCGGTTCTTGACTCAATGTTGCTAGAGGAGCTGATTGTGGACACAGAGTATGCTCTCTTTTTCCTTTTTCTTTTATCCATATTTTGCTCCGTTCGATCTCTGGGTTTGGTTTTAATTGGGTTCTATTTGATTCATATTAGTATGTACAAAGTAAAACATGAACAAACTAAAACCGAATTATACTCCGTGTATGCTTTGGTTTGATTCGGATTGGTCGAATCAAACCGATATCAAATGTCAATAATGCAGTGGTGTCATTCTTTGAGTCTAACCAATTCAAAGGCTATCAATGGATAAGGAATTTATCATGGATAATATTGATTGGTTGACACTGATTTTCAGGCAGAAGGCTTTAGGTTCAAACCTTCCTGCAAGGGCATCGCACACGTCACGAATAAATCACGACACAAACATGACAGGTTGCAAAACATGCGCGCAACATGGCACCACTAATAAGGAAACATCATCCTCGTCATCATCAAATGTGCTGCTTTACTTGGGCATAATCGACATTCTTCAAGACTATGACATCAGCAAGAAGCTAGAACACGCGTACAAGTCATTTCAAGTAGATTCCACTTCCATCTCCGCCGTTGACCCAAAGCTCTACTCCAAAAGGTTCCGGTATTTCATCAACAGCATCTTTTCAGAGGAAGGGGATGAGGATTCGTCGTCCCCATTCATCATAATCAACAATGGAAATGGAGGGAATGACAAGACCTGTTGAAAAGGGCAAACATGTCTTAGGATTGGAGAGTGGGGGGTATTCAGGTAAAATTGCTGTCATTTGTTCATTGAAATTAAACCTCCTCCAAGTCTGGTAAAAAAGCTTGGGGAAGGTGGGGTATTTTATTTGCATGTGTTTCCTGGATCATAGGTGGTGAAGTAGAAATTTTGTTCTAGCTGTACAGTTCAGAGGAAAAAAAACCTAACTCTGGGAATGTAGAAAGAGAGGAGGAATCAGTGCTTTTTTATTTTTGTGTATGCATTTTGGGAATATGGTGAAAAAAATGGAGCCATGTTTAAGATTCAAATGGGGAAAAAAGGGATGGTGAAAAAACACAGTAAAAAAAAGCTGCCATGTTAGTTTTTCTATGTTTGTCTCTTGGATCTTTGTTGGTTGGAAGGAATAAAATATTCCAGATTCTCTAGGGGAAAAAAATTCACATTTTTATTTTTTTCTTTTGATTTATATAGATTTTATTTCTCATTCTTTAAAAAAAACAACCCAATAAATTTTATTTTTTTAATGGGTTGGTTTTCCTAGCATCTTCGGAGTAATACCACTTGAGGAGAGGGAGGGAAAAACGTGTGCGAATGCAACGTTGTTTGGTCGTTAATTAGCGGCCGGTTTCCTTTTTTTGTTTTTCTTATATCAAACGGTCACTTTTTGACTTCGGGAATTCATTTGTCTCCCACACAGGACAAACGCCGTCTAAATAATTTATTATCAGACGATGTTTTGTTTTGTTTTTTTACCCCTTATTATTGGCACCGTTTTTTACCTTGAGGTTTTACTCCGGCCTCACTCGGATGGCCCAATATAATTCTCGTTTTTGGACTATTCATTTGATCACATCACAAGAAATCCATATAAAAAAGTTGGATTACAAAAAATATTTTGTACTTAGTAGATAGAATTAAACTCAATTTCTTTTAATATTGCTAAATCCACGCCTCATTAGGCTAAATCCACACTATTTAATAATAAATGGACAATTTTGCCCTTTACTTTATTCCTTCCTTTTAAATAGTTAAGGGCAAAACATATATTTTTCAAATAAATATACATATAGTTAAATGAAGGGTGGATTTAGCAATATTCTATTAATTAATATGTGGGCGTTGCGCAGTTGGCAAAAGTAATGAGTGTCAAGGAGGTAAGATTCAAGTTTGATTTCTGACAACTCTGGTGTAACTTGTAAGGCAATTATGCTAAGAATATGATCTCTACAAGAATAGGTGCATATTACACTCTTTGCCATCAATTTGCGATAAAAATCTAATTTACTTCCTCTCAGTGATTGTCCGACTTGGTCTGAGGCGGGCCTCGGGGATGAGAATCATCCTTTTCTCAAACGCCACCACCCCCTCCCCCATTCCATCTTCATATAAGGGATTTGAGGTTATTTTGGTGACGTCACTCACGCTAAAGGACATAGACATCTCGGCACAATGCTCTCTAGGATAATCTTCTAACACATTGACATAGTCGTTGTTTCTTCATGTTTATAAGTTGATTAAAATTGTTCATAAGCTAGTTTGAACTTATAAATTATCTGATGATATGTATGGAGGGGGTGGGAGATATTTGGGTTACACTTTTGGTATACTCTTAGGATTTCCTAATTTTTAATGAGTTTGTCAACACATAATACAATCAAGAACTTTATTTTAGAATTATTAGTTTCAGGAAGCAAAAACGAAAAGTTCATATATACATTGAAGTAAAATAAAAAATCATTATTAATACTATTTCTAAAAATGTAGTGTATTATTTTTATCTGATCTGATTGAAGCTGGTGTGAACAGGTCTGATCAAATTTGAATAGATTTCTGAATAGATTTGACTAGATCTTAATAAAAATAAATAATAAACAAAAAATAAATTATTCGAACGGACCATTAATTTAAGAGAATCTAAATTCATTAGGTTTATAGCATTGTATTTTTCTCAACTGCACTACCTTAAATATTGGAAACAATTAATTATAAGTAATTTTTTTTCAAAATGAAGTGTTAACATTGCAAATTAGTTGTAGCCCAACATTGACTTATTTAGCGCACGACAGGATCTGACGTCCAATTAAATGATTCGGCCCAACAGCAAAGGATGAAAAATAAAGGGAATCAGATTTTATTGAAAAAAACGCCGTTGCCGGGGATCGAACCCGAGTCACACGCGTGACAGGCGGGAATACTTACCACTATACTACAACGACTTTTTGTTCTCCCACGTCATTTTAATTAACAAATTATAAAAATTACGGAAAAATAAAATACTCCGTACCTTTAAACGGTGCCGTACCCGGTAGGGGTGAGCAAGGACCGAACCGATCCCGATATTTCCTGAAACAACCGAGAATACCGAACCGAAAAATACTGAACCGATAAAGTACCGAAAAGAAACCGAATTGTACCGAACCGAATGGTCGGTCCGGTATTTGGGAACAGTACGAGGTTACTTCCCATACCAAAATTCCCGAACCGAACATATATACTAATATATTATAAAAATAATAATCTTTTTATATTTCTTCATTAAATAAAAAATTTATATAGACAATTTAGTTTAATTTCATTATGTTTAAGTTGCACTTTAATAAGAGTTTTTTATTTTTTGTAGATGAGTATAAGAATATTAAAAAATATTTAAAATAATACTTTATTATCACTCGTTCTCCTTAGTATGTGAAATATAAACTAACTTTCATAAGCATTACTTGTATTTTATTTTTTCATTTTTTAATTTTTTTTATCTTTCTTTAATTTGGTTAAATGTACTTTTAATTTTCCAAAAATAAAAGGTTTTGTTACATTTTATGATGTAAACTAAGTACGTATATATTCATTCCGATTTGTACCGAAACCGATACCGAACCATCCCGAACCATACCGAACCGATGCTTCGGGAACGGGATCGGTACAACGTAAAATCCCATACCGAACCGAAATATTTGGTACGGTATCGGTACGAGCTAAATACCGTATCATACCGTACCACGCTCACCCCTAGTACCGGGATAGGGTCACCACATTTACTCGGGAGAGTACTTATCACTATACTACAAAAGTAGAGTCACTTTGTTTCCCACACAATCCGTATGAACTACACAGTCAAAAAATTAATGTGAGTATCTTCACTAGTAGAGTCACTTTGTTTCCCACACAATCCGTACTTTTGTTTAAAAAAAGTGACACGTCTTATTATTTTTTAAAATATATTTTAGGGTATCTTAAAATATTCGAAAACTAATTCTAGAAGGAAATTCTATTTACCACACGCACTGTCATATCTTTTTGCATCATTATCTTTTAATCTTTTTTTTAAAAAAATTTGTTGCAAGTACCCTCGATTTTGTAGTAAAAGAACTTTTGAGATTCATCGTTTTTTTAAAATATATATCGTGATACCTTAAAATATCTAAATACTTATTCTGGAAAGAATTCTCTTTCTTCTTCTTCTTCTATTATTATTGTTGTTGTTGTTATCATGTTGCAATAATAATAATAATAATAATAATAATAATAATAATAATAATAATAATAATAATAATAATAAGTTTTTTGTATAATTAAAAGTATCTTGAATATGTGGGTGTGTGTATATATATATATCCAAAATGACACAAAAATTTAAACGATCCCGACTCTTGTCGGGTGGGGTTTGGATCAGTTAACTAACAAGGTGAAGAAGGCATACACATTACACTGACCGATAGCATGTCAAACCAAACCATAGCATGCATGTAAAATGCATGCATTTATCCATTCAAAGGTAAAAAGGTAGAGTAGGGTAGTTAAGAAATGAAAAATCCATTTATCAATTATTTCCTGGTAATTAGAGCACCAAATTATATAAAAGCATGCAAATAGAAGCTATATATCATTAAACCTCAAAACCCAATTCAAAATCTATTTCTCAAGAAGAAAAAAATCAAAAAAATGAGGACAACTTTTCTCATTGTCCTTGTTCTCATTCTTGTTCAAGTGTCATACAACACACACTTGAACCATACACCCAACTGGTAGACAACAAAGCCGTAGACTACCCAAACGAGCTCACCTACAAGCTCTCATTCTTTTGGCGAAGGGGTTATTGCTGGGGCAAAAACTATATGGGTGCAAAGTTTGCGTGAAATACTCATCGACGCTACAGAGGTTGCACTTTTTTCCTTGTTAGTTCCACCCACTCCCGCTCCCAAAAGTTCTTATAGCTCTCCTGGTTCTCGTTGGTCAACAAGTCTGGCCAATTCTTGTTGAGCTGCTCTGTGATATCCTTGATGACTTGGGCAGGGTCGATTCTGACAAGTCCTCACAGTAGCGTCGGTAGATGGGCCACATGCCATGGATGGTGAAGTGTTGCCGCAATGGATTTTCCTCACTTTTGGTGAGGTCTTCACACATGGAGTTTTTGCCCCGGCAATAACCCCTTGGCCAAAAGAAAGAAAGCTCAGCTCGTAGGTGAGCTCGTTTGGGTAGTCTACGACTTTGTTGTCTACCAGGTGGGTGTATAGTTCAAGTTCGTGCTGGTATGACACTTGAACAAGAATGAGAATCAGAACAATGAGAAAAGTCACATCCTCATTTTTTTTATTTTTTTTCTTGAGAGATAGATGTTGAATTGAGTTTTGAGGTTAAATGATACATGGCTTCTATTTGCATGCTTTTATAGAATTTGGTGCCCCAACTACCACGAAATAATTGATACATGCATTTTTCATTTCTTAACCACCCTCTAACTTTTTAACATTGAATTGGTAAATGCATTTTACATGCATCCGTCAGTATATGGAGTAAATGGTAACTTACTTCCGTATCCGAGTAAATGTATGCTTTTATATATACGAAGATGGAACTCATGCAAATTGCTCCGTAACCTACTCGTTGTAAGTTGGAACGCATGACCCAACCAGCTGGCTACTTGTGATTAATTACTTCCAATGAAAAATAAGTGAATAATTATGTTTAGTTCATAAGTTGACCCTATCCAGGCACGGCAACGTTTATAGCTACTTTAGTTTTCGCCAAATTTCAAAAAGTCGTTGTAGTATAGTGGTAAGTATACCCGCCTGTCACGCGGGTGACCCGGGTTCGATCCCCGGCAACGGCGCTTTTTTTAAAATAAAAAATCTGATTACCTTGCTTTTTCATTCTTTCCTGTTGGGCCGAATCATTTAATTGGACGTCAGTTCCCGTCGTGGGCTAAATAATTCAATGTTGGGCTACAACTAATTTGCATTGTTTCTAATATTTTAGGTAGTGCAATTGATAAAATACAATGCTATAAACCTAATGAATTTAGATTGTCTTAAATTAAGGGTCCGTTCGTATAATTTATTTTTTGTTTAATACTTTTTTTTATTAATTATCCTTCAAATACTTATTTTGATCAAAATAATCCAACATTTTAAGCTGGTTTAAAAAATAATTCCACTTTTTACTGTCACTAGAAATAATCACACTTTTTTGCATGTGTGTGAGTTTTGGGTCACCGTTAAAAAGTAACGGTCACTTAACGGAAACTTTAAGAAATGCCTATTTTTCACAAAAATGAAGAGCGGGACTATTGTAGGCAAATTTAATTTTTACATTTTTTAATTTTAAATTTAAAATTAATATTTTTAAAAAATAAGTATACACTCTTGTTAGAGATTTGTCTAACGGTTTACAAATTTTGTTTTATGTTCTCGGAAAATATAATACTCCCTCCGTCCCGGAGTATTCGTCCAGTTTTGACTTTTGGAATTGTTTATCTAAGCACTTTGACTCATCAAATTCTCTCAATTTGTAAGCCTAAATATAGTCATGTGTGATCTTGTTTGATTTGTCTTAACATATAGATTATTACCCCGGAGTAATATATAATTTCTATAATTATTTAATATACAAATTACAAGATAAAATGGATTAAAGTAGTGTATTGGATCGTGTGTAAAAATGAAAGTGGACGAATACTCTGGACGGAGGTAGTATTGATTTATCAAAATAATTCAGAGTATCGATCCAAAAAGAAATTGCAATATGAAAAAATTGTACTAATTTATAAAATTTATTAGTGTCGTTCCGGTGTAAAAAAACAGTATACCATTTTCACAACTTTTGAATTACTATTTTGGGGAAAAAATAGTACTGAATTATCAAAAAAAACCAAAAATTAGGTAGTTTGATATTTGATAAAAACAATATAGGCAATAGAAGATTATCAATAAATATTTTGGAGTGATGTTCATTAAAAATCTGTAATACAACAGAAAATGTAGTGAGTTATAAAAATATAAGTTCAATTTTAGAGAAAAATTTTTTTGTGTTATTTTCACAATTATTATAATGTTGTTTCAAAAAAAATATTTATTTAGAACTATCAAAAAGTATTCACAAGTTTTGTAGTGCCATATTTAAGAAATAATAATAATATAGTACGCAAAAAATTCGAAATACCGCTCAAAAAAATAATTGCAACTTACAAAAAACTAGTGAGTTATGACGTAATTTATTTTTTAATTATTATCGATTATTGATAAATAATTAGTTTCACTCTAAAAAACACTTAAAGTTGGTATTATTTTTTCCAAAAAAATTTAAAAATGCATTTAAATTTAATGCTAGAAATTATAAAAATGAAAAAAGTAGAATTTACCTAAAAGAATTTCACCTTTTTTTATTTGCGAAAAACATGCATTTTTGAAAAATTCCGTTAAGTAACCACCATTAGTTTTTTAACGGCGACCCAAATTCAAACACATGCGGAAACAGCATGAAAAAGTGGAATTATTTGAGATAATTTTTCCTTTATATTATGATATAAGTAATGAAAATAAGAAAGCAAAGTAAATAAAATTTAATCACGCATGAATTGAGTATGGGAAAGAAATTTTTGGACGGAGAAATAGCTTTTTACGTAGTACTAAATACTCTAAATTTTATTTTTGATAACACCTATAATTAAATACTCCGTAAATTAAATTGAATATATGTTTTTTTTGGATAGGGGAGTATTTGTATATCGATAATTCACTTATTTTTCATTGGAAATAATTAATCACAAGTAGCCAGCTCGTTGGGTCATGCGTTCCAACATACAACGAGTAGGTTGCGGAGCAGTTTGCAATTTTGCATGAGATCCATCTTCGTATATATAAAAGCATACATTTACTCGTATATGGGAGTAAGTTATCATATACTTCATCCCTCTTCAAAAATACTTTCTCTTTCATTTTTTTACTTTCAACATAAACTTCTATTTTCTATTAGAAAACCATTTTTATCTTTATTTTTTCATACCCTACCTATCAAATAATATTTTTTCTCTGATAATCTATCCATCACACCTTACTTTTAACCATCATATCAATGCAAAATTGAAAGTCGACTACAATTTAACACTTTCTTATTTTTACATTTGGTCAAACTAGGAACCCCTTTTTTAGAAATGCAACTTTTGTAGCTAGCGTCTATCAATATTTCAAGCACTCTCAAAATGTTCATTGATAGCGGAGTAGATTAAATTCTTAACGAAACTGGTAATTATTATTAAATTCTCCAAAAGGTGAAATCTCTCACCTCGGGCGCTCCTCACCCCCGACCCGACGGGATTGTGAGAGGAGGTAAATCACGGTGACCCAAGCACAACACTTAGCTAGACCATATCCTAGTGCGCACCAGAGACTCCCCCCATTTTTCAGAGGTGGTCGCCCCCACAACGGTCGCTGCCAGGTTTCGATCCTTGGTTATTCTCCAAACTTCACCAAGTGCTTGCCACTTGGGCTACCCGTGCGGGTGGTAATTATTATTAAATGAATTGACACAAAGTGTGTTTGTACTAAAATGTATGTATATGTATGTATGTTTCTATGAAGGTCATTTTTCTTATACATGATTAGGTATATTGTATGTATGTATGTTTCTTTGCAGGTTGGCCACACGTTGATGATGAGGCGAAGAGCGCATTTCCTCAAAGGAAATCGATAACCTTTTGCATAATAGGGTATATATGATGGTAATATTTATATCTCCGAACAACATTTCTACTTGGACGGCTATCTAGACTTATATGGATTGGATCAAGGGAATATACTTCAGCTACGCATAGGTACACTAGGTCAGACGGGTGATGACGTGATGTCCATCATGTTAAACCAAGTCATGCATCTAAGACCGTGCGTAATGGTTCATGCCCTTTAAATTGTGTTTAATGAGCATGAACCATTGGACATGATCTTACATACATGGCTTGGTTTAACATAGTCGACATCACCCGCTTGACATGGTGCACCAATGCGTAGATGAAGTCTATTCTCTCGAGGCAATCCATATAGTCTAGATAGCCGTCCAAGTAGAATTGCAGTTCGGAGATATAAATATTACCATCATACCCTGTAAGCAAAAAACTATTGATTTCCTATGCAAATATGAATTTTAATAATCTACAATTCAAAATAAAATATTCCAACATTTTGATATTTTATTATTTTTAGTACAAAATATAAGTGCAAATATGAATTTTAATAAATTTTTTTGAAAATTCATATCCGTTGGGTGAATCCATCCCTGATAACACTAGATCATGAACATGCAGTTCTCAACCCGAATCATAACTTACCTAAAATTGATGTAATTCCGACATGAAGGGGCCGAAAAATCCAAATCCAATCTTATGGACTGATTTGCCAGTTTTATACCTATATATTCTCCCCCTCCGGGACATGTTCATTCCTCAAGAAATCCTATCAACACACACACACACACACACACAGAGACAGAGAGAGATAATAGCAGAACTGATGCAAATAATAGATTGTCTGCGTACAACAATGGTAGTGTAGTGGATGCTATATCAAAGTGTGTGGGAATTTAATGAGAGAAGAATAGGTAGCTAGTTCTTGAACTTGAGTTTTTCTGCAGGATAGATTCTATCTCTACCACTATATTTTCCATTGTTGTGTCCATCCCTGTATGAGATCTCTCTGCCTTTAACCTTCTTCTTGTTTTCAGGTGCTTTCTTCTTTGCATCGCTATTGTTCGCTCCGCCTCTTCTGCTGTCATGGACCACATACATGAGAGCGTCATATTAAGACACCGAACCATTTGGAGAGCCCTAAGGTGCTCCTTTCGAGCTCAAAGTCCCCCCTAGGGGGGGGGGGCAAGGGGAGATTAGGCCTTATGGGGTAGGAACCACTTTGAGCCCCAATGGAGCATCATAGGGCCCTGGTTTCATATTATGACACCCAAAACCCGTGTTGAAAGAACTCTCAGAGATCAAGAAATAACCAAATGGGTAAGAAATTTTTTTCCCTTTTTAACCGGGGTGGGGTTGGGGTGGTGTCAAAGAGACAAACCTGAGATGAAGCAGCAGAAACACAACACCAAAAATTGCAGTTCCACCAGCCACAGTATTCAGCAGGAATGGAATCCGGTTTGCCTTTTCCTTGGGCACTCCAACATCTGTATTGTCTTTCTCATCTGAAACATTCTCTGCCAGAGAATCTTCATGCTTTCTGTCCACCTGCATTCCATCATAGACCGACGAAGGGAAAACAAGATTAGATATGTCAACAAAACCAACCCCCTTTTCTACCAAATATTTAGGCGGTGTTTGGTTGGAGGGAAAGAAAGATATTTTAAAAAATTAAATAAAATTTCTTCTAATCCCCACCATTCCTTCCGCTTCCCTCCCCTACCCTCCAACCAAACATAGCCTTAGGGTCCTATCTGAACCTGTAAATTGCCAGGTAAAGAAAGTGGGGAGGAAATATATATAATAATAAAAGGAACGAAAGAAAATAAATGTGGGAGAAATTTATAAAAAGGGTTCAAAATCCATAAATTGATTTTAGAAATTTGATATTTCTTCAAACTCGTTTCATTTATGCATTTCTATTACATATAGAGTCTATAGACTAAGAAATATAAGTAAAATATAAAAAAAAGGTTAAAATGAAAATTTATTTTTCTTCATAATATCCAGGTAAATCCAAACTGTTTTCCTTGGCATTTTCTCGCTCTATAATGATAATGTTTGTCTTTCATTTTAGAAAAAATTACTACTAGTATATATTTTAAATACATTTTTAGATAAATCAATCTTTTCAACGATTACAATCACCAAATGGGCCTACAACGTAAATTCAAAGAATGGGTATGTTTAAAGAAAGAGAGTGTGATCACCTCATTAGTCTGAGGAAGTCCAGATGCATCATCATCTTGTGATTCTTTGACAAGAGAGAGTGAATGTTGCTGCTCTTCTACAGCTTCACAAGAAATTGAAGGAGTGACAAACCTCTGACTGATACTACCGTTTTCCAGACTCTGAAAATCACCAAGGCATGATTTATGATTCATTTTTGCAGCATTGACATCCTCTTCTCCACATTTTTCATTGCATTCGTCATCCTGACACTGCAAAATACCCTCAGATGGCAAACCTAAATGGTCTGATTTCAGCAACTCATCGTGTTGGGCATCTGAATCTAAAGAACTATCTAAGTCAAAGTGGTCATCAAATTCCAGATTAAGCACCCTTCCTAGTAAAGAACTCATGCTGGTAGTGGACGATACCTCCAGATCTTCCATATCATCAGACTCTATATGAGAATCTTTACCCGTAAAGAAGTTAAAAATATTATAGTCTTCCCCTTCCAGCAACACAGGGCCATTTCCCCTAGTCCCACAAATAACTGAGTCTGAAAATGCTAGATAATCCGATATGTAGTTTCCTTCTTGCTGGTCGTAACATATGTGAGAGTCAAAAGTTCTTGGCTTTGTGCTGCTCTCTGCTCCAGGTGAACTCTCAAAATCTTTAACATCATGTGTAGAGGAGCAACAAGGATCTTTTCCAGTGTACTTGCTCTCGGCTTCATCAGATTCTTCTGAACAAGAATCATAGTTTTTATCACCAGATTCAGTTAAATTTTTCTACAGCACATAATGGTATTGCATCAGTAAAACCTAAGAGTAAGGCGAGCTCATACATCTATATGGCTATCTTGTTCTTTATTAGTTAACCCCAGAAGAGTACCTGCGTCATTCGTGGTCCTTGATCATTGTTATATGAACAGTTACTGGAGGAGCTTGAAAAGCTAGGTTGTGATGTTTCCAAGCTTCTTCTGATGCAACCCACCATATCTTTGGGCATGGCTACGTTATATGATACCATATCAAAGTCGGGAACCTATCAATGCATTGTTCGGTCATTACTAAATCTGTAATATTGCTACACTTACAGGTTATACAATATAATGACATTAACAAGATCTATGCATCTTTAGGTTAACTTTGGTGTTCTGAAATGCATTTCATGGTCTAAAATACGTATTTAAAGGTTTCCCCTAAAAATGAATCTTCAGGAAACATATTGTGAGAAGTTTGGTCTGAAAATTTTCATTCCTACTAATATCATCATATCTTATCGTCTTTTAGTGGTGTTTGTGGAAAATTTGACTTGTAAAGGACCTTATTTGCAATTTTCAATAACTTCAATGATCAATTGCTAGTTTGACCATACTGTAATAGAGGTAGAAGTAGTTACTAGTTAACGCAATAAATATTGGCTTCGCATCAAATTCTCACCAACATGATGATGTATTCTACCTTTAAATGCTTTGACCTGGCCTTCTTTGAGAGTGTTCTTATGCAAATGCAGACCTTTCGAATATTTCTTTTTTCAACAACATCTGACGGGGAGAAGAGATCGATACTATTCAATCCCAAGATCTTGCATATCTACAAACAAGATTGAACTAGTGAATTTCAGGGCCATAACTTATTCTTGCCAAAAAATTATCTAAGGTAAAGAAGATTCTGCTGTTTTGATCAATCTAGTGATACTATCAAAAGAGACCAAAAACAAGTTTTAATGAAAAGAGGGCATCCTCCAGAATAAACATGGAACATGAAGAAGAGGATTAACCTTTAGAAAAGAGTCAACATTAGTATATGGCCTGAACCTTCCGCTGCTTTTCTGGGAATGAAGTGGTTTATATTTTAGAAGTCTGAGCTCCGCAAACTTTGCCAACAACATATCCCATAGTACTTTGGACACCTCGTACCTGTCAAAAGTGGAAGAAACATAGCTAAATGCTCCTCCACATCCGATAGAAGACAACAACAGAGCCAATAAAATCCCACAGAAAATAGGGTTTGGGGAGGGTGGCAGACCTTACCCCTACTGGGTAGTAGAGAGGTTGTTTCCAAGAGACCCCCTGCTCAATTACAGATGTACAGATAAAGAAACCACAGCAACACGAGCAAGTGCGAGCATAGACAAAAGAAGCACACAAACTGACCCTAGCAACTAAACTCAAAGCACATTTGAAAGAAGAGAAGAAGTTCAATTACTCCGGCATTATTTTCTCAATAAAAATGTTCCCCATTCAATACAAGATCAATATCAAAAAATGAAGTCATTGGACTGGCAGAAAAGAATCCTTAATACACTGCATAAAATATATTGCAGTAGCATAAACATCAACTTTATAGCAGATCTATAACACTCTTAAGCTTATCATTAAAGTTAAACATTAATTCCATGGTAAGAATTAAGAAATACCCTCTGCAAAATTAAAAGGAAGTGCCCAGAGAACTATATGCTGTAGCAGCAATCATTACAACAGTCCCAATATAATTCTACACACTGGGTTTTGGGGGGTTGTGTGTATGTAGACCTTTAACCATTTTGAACATTCAAATCTTCTTTTAATAGAAAATATGGATTCAATTTTGCAACCTTAATTAAAAGAATGAACAGATAGCTTCCAAGAACATACAGTAGTTCTCCATCAGCTAGTAATTCAGAAATGTGCAGCTCCTCATTCAATAATCTCACATTGAGAACTTCACCAAGCCAAATTCTCGTCTGAGTCTGAAATTAAAAAACACTAGAAACCCAAAATCAGTAACGAATCAAGAAAACCTTTCACACCCACAGAGAGAAAGAGCAAAATTCAGTAACCAATCAAGAAGACCTTTCACATACCCAGAGAGAGAGAGAGGGAAAATAAGTTGACCTGTAAGAAGACATCGTCGAGCTTGCGGAAGGTAGATTCAGCGGTAATGGGAGAAGAGACGGCGGCGACCTCTCGGCGGCCCATCTCTCAGGCAGACTTGTCGATAATTAAAACAAAAAGAAACGCTTTGGGATATCGAAAATTCAAAGAGAAAGTGCTGGAAACTGTCAAGCAATAAATTTGATGCAGTCGAAGAACAGATGAATGAATGAATGAAACCGAAGACTAGTAAAATCGAGTGAAACTTCTGTGGGTATGAACTAAAAGTATGGGTTTGAAGTTGAGGTGGAGACGTGTTTGCCAGAGAGAAAGAGAGAGAATTCTAAGAGAAGAGGAAATGCACCATAAAAATTTCTGACATTTTTCAAAGTGAGTATTGAAAAAAAAAAAAAAAATGTCAGGGGTACACCACATTCGTCCCTCACCCTTTCCTTGTCCACAGAAAAAGCAAGAAATTCAAAAAAAAATTTAAAAAAAAATAAAAATGTGTGGTGAAGAAGGGGATGGTGTACATTTGGGGTACACCTTTGATGTAACTCTAGCATTGCTCAAAAAAAAACTACCACATCCCAGATGACAATTTGCATAAGAATGAATTTCATTCTTGATACTTGTAAAATTTCTACTCTTTCCGTTCTATAAAAGTGTTCATATTTTGACTTTGTATAAAAATAAGGAAGTGTTAAATTGTACGTAGTATTTGACTTCCAATTTTGCTCTTGATGTGATGGGTAAAAGTAAGATATATGTGATGGATTAAGTAAGTATGATATGATAGGTAGGGTATGAAAAAGTAAGGATAAAAGTGTTTTTTTAATAGAAAATGGAAGTGTTTTATTGGAAGTAAAAAAATGAATTGAAAGAGAAAGAGTTTTTAAGAACGGTGGAAGTATGTTTTACATGATTGTCTCTCATATAACCGTCACCAGGCTTTGAGCTCGAGATCTCTTCCTTAGCACTCTTATAAGAATCATTAAGCTATGTCTCACTCGTGAAATTACCTCATTTTAAATTTGACACCAAGTATATCAACTATCAAGACACCACACAATTATACACCATTCCCTTACGAGGGAGTCTAATTAATAGAAAGGGGGCAGGGCATGGGGCTGAGCTGGGATGTGGTTTAGAGGTGTGTTAGGTGTGTTAGGGAGGCTAAATACATCAATTTTATAATTAGAGCGACGTACGTAGGTGTCTCAATTGAACTGGTGTCAGAATTTTACACAAAACAGAGTAGTGTTATTTTTCCCTCATTTCTGTTTGTGTATATGGTTGTAAAATATTTAGTACGTAGCAAGCTCTTGATATTAAACGTGATGAGTTTCTTGTATTTTTGTTAAAAAATGTTTGAAAACTAGTACTTCATATTATTTAATTTTATAATGTTCATGCTCAAATTAAAATATGTGCAATATAAATATTACTCTATATATAACATGTACAGAGTAAGAAAAATGTATTTGTCATATTAACAATTTTGGATGAAAAAATTACATATAGTACAAAAAATATACTCCGTATGATAAAAATCATATATCTAGATTTATAGCTTATGAACTCCCACGCATGGGTAAAAGATTCATTTTCTGTTTGAATTTAATTTTTTACACTTTTAATTGAGTGATTTTTTCTTTTTAAAAATGTAAGAATTTGACTGCTATTTTCACTTTATTTATTACTTCCTTCGTTCCAATTTATAGTGCTTGTTTTGGTTTACGATGTTTGACTGAAATTATTTTTAAATTATTTTATATGACAAATGGTATAAAGTTATAACTAGAAAAAAGTGAATTGTGTCACATTAACAATTTCGGATGAAAATTTTAGACCTGGAAAAAAATGACCCGACCTGTTTTTTTACTCGAGACCCGACCCGAAAATACTGGGTTTTGAACAAAGATTTTGTTGACTGAATCGAAGTTGACCGAACATGAAATTACTCGTTAAAAATTGGTCAAACTCGACCGAACCCGAACCCGACTGAACCGATATGAAAAAGTAAGGGGTAAAAGTAACTTTTTAATATAATTGAGAAGTGTTTTTTGGGATAAATAAAAATAGAAAAGAGAAAGGTTTTCAGGGACGGAGAGAGTATTAAAAACGATAAGATTTTAGTGAAATTTGCTCTAAATAGGACTAAAACATAACGACTTTCTTAATGCAGGACTTAAATTTTTCTATTACCTTAATAGGACTTAATAATGTCTTAGTGGGAGACTGGGAGGAATAATTAATGACCAATATTGATGAACATTTACTTGAATAATGACTAAATGATAATGACCAAATATCTTACATTATTGGGAAATAAAAATATATAGTCTTATATTAGAAGAGTCATTATGTTTTAATCTTATTTAGGTAAATTTCTCAAAATTTTATAGAGACTTGAAATGACAGAATATGTTTGAGACACCGAAAATTTAGTGTAAACATGCAGAAAAACACGCAACGAGTAATTAAGGAAACAAAGATGAATGTATAGTTATAGTACGTATACTATAATTAATGAATTTGCATTATAGATCGATAGTACTTCAATTCCTTCCCGTACGTATAGTACGTAGAAGGTAAACAAGGGAACTAATTAATACTCCCTCCGTCCCCCATAGATCTTCTCATTCGCCCCTTTTTATTTGTCCTACATAGATCTTCTCATTACCTTTTTTAATAATTAAAATACCACAACTACTCCCACTTACTTTATTTATTACACCTTTTTCACTTTATTTAATACACCCCACCCATTTTCATTAAGGGTATTTTGGTAAACTTTCACCTTTTTTCAACTCTCCTAAAAAACCGTGAAAAGTCAAATTGAGAACATCTTACATGGACGGAGGGAGTAGCAACTAATAATTAACTACGACTGTAATTAAGCTAATAATAATGAAACTAACTATGAAGGTATAACGAACTAGTAACTAACTAACTAACTAACTGCTACTGTAGTAATTAAAGCAGTAGTGTACTCGCTAAATTATTTAGCTTATTGCTTATGGCGGGGTTTAGATGAGATCATATAGCAGATGGCCGTGGTGGGGGCGTCGGCGGGGAGCAGGGGGATTGACCGTCGAGGCCGGGAGAGAAGGGGACACCGGTGTTGGGCAGCCAGGAGTTGCCGTCGATGAATTCGGCCACGGTGAACGGAGAAACGTCGTCGTCGGGATCAAGCTTTGGGGGGCGGAGAAACGTCGGCGACGGTCACATGCAAGCCGGGCCAGGAGACCCGGTTCTGGGTATCAGCTTTGGTGACCGCGCCGAGACCGCAGTTTTTATACTCGCGGTAGTAGAGAGTAGTGGGCCTCCACTTAGGCTGGTCGGGCCACGCGAGCCACCCCGCGGCATCCACCAAGCGGTCCATCTTGGTCGTGATGAAGACGGTGCGCGAGTGGTCGGACCACGGCCGTCCCAAGTAGGTCTGGATCTTCGCCCCCGCGGCCAAGGCGTCGCCCAGCTCCTTGGACGCCGACACCTCGCAGTTGTGGATGCATATCCCGAAAGGATCGTTTGGCCCGGGCCTCCCGTCGGCGGTGATGGTGCTGGGCTTCCCGTTCCCCCCGGGGATTCGGGGGTAAATCCTGCAGTTCTGGAGCACGGCGGCGCCCCTGAGGGAGAAGATGAAGTCGACGGTGCCGTAGATGTCGCAGTCCCTGTAGAACTGGGTGCCTTTGTGGGCGTAGAGGGTGTCCTGGTAGCCCTCGAAGCTGCATTTGTGGAAGGCGGCGTGATCGGCGCTCGTCATGACCGCCACAGCCTGCTCGTTCTCCGGTCCCGCCGTGTTCTCCACTGTGAAACCTGCGCCTATGAACCCTTCTCCCTCCACACCTGCATGCATATATGCATGTATACATGCATTACTATACGTACGTGTAAATAAATAAATAAAGTAGCTAGACTCAATATAATATACTTACTGAGGGTTGCGGAGTCAGAGGTTTTGAAGCCGCCCTTAGCACTCCGGTTTCCGGTGATGATGGTTTTCCCTATGCCGTCTCCGACGATAGTCACGTTGTTGGACTTGACGGTGACGTACTCTTGGTACTTTCCGGCCGTTACGTGTATCACGAATTGAGTGCCGGTGCCTCTGGGGGCGGAGGCGGCGGCGTCTAGAGCTGCTTGGATGGTGGGGAAGTCGTTCGGGGTTGGGTTAACTTGTGTCACCACAGCATCCACCTTTATGGTCCACGGCGACGGCGGGGGCACAACGTTATTTGATGACATCGATCCTTTATTATTAGGAATGAATGAAGATCGAATAGAAGAGATCGAAGAGGTAGATAGAGTTAGTTGATGGGATTAGATGGGTATTATGTGTATGTACTATGTATGATCAACCCCAAGTCTCCATAATCCCTATTTATACTACTACAAATTATTAACATATGCATGGATTGGATCGGGAAACACGTACGTACGTACATCCTTATCTTTTTTGCATGCAAATTTCTTCCCAAAAATTAACCTTCCTTTTTTATACACTTCCTAATATAATCCCCTATCATAATATCATTCATCATCCCGGCCTTCGGATCCAGTAATTTCTTTATTTATGAATGTTGATTTGGATATTTTATTGATTAAATTATTGGATAACTTCCTATCCTACGATCTAATTTACTCACCCATATATAATTAAACAGACATATTATATACCAAATTTGATCATTTTCAAGTACTTATCCGATAATCAATCCATATTTATACACTCAAATCTTTTTATTTCTCATTCTCGCGATCCAGTAAATTTAATTTACTCTCCATATCCTCCCCTACTCAACTTAATTGTTTCTAAATCCCTTTCCATATAGTACAAACCCATGTGCATAATAGATTCTAAGTTAATGCTTTGTTTGGATTGTCCATCATCAAAGATATACTCTCAATCTCGATTTTTTTTTACTCTGGAGTACTTTTTTTTAATTGTTTGGGCTGGATCCATACTTAACTACAAATTGTAAAAAAGAATACTACTGGACATTGGCCTCGATTAATATGTAATTAAATGAATAGGGGCCCAACACACCAATTGGAATAAAATAAATGCATTACTTATGCTAGAAAATGGGTGGACATATGACTGGCATGTTTTTTTATCCAAAATTTGATTTTGTATTGTGGCAATATCACACTATATATAATTTTCCCCGTATCTTTTGACATTATAAGTTCTATCTTAGAGATTAAAAAAGATACACCCTCGTCCCAGAAAAATTCTTCCTGTTTTGACTTTTTTGTCAAACAGTGATACGCTTTGACTACAAATTGTGAGAAAATTATATTGAATTATAATATATATTTAATATAATTGGATTCATCTTAAGGTATAGTTATGATACATCTAATTTTTATAATATTTCTTTATTTAAATTATGCTTAATTTGTGATCAAAGAATGTCCCTATTTGATTAAAAAAGTCAAAAGAAGAAGAGTCTTCAAAAACGAAAAGAGTACTATTTTTTATTTTTCTTTATGTTTTACTTCTATTTTAACTTTTTCTTTCAATTAATAACTACTCCAATGGATGGATAAGCCATATTAATTGAAGGAAGATTATTTAATTTTAGATCAATGTGTAAACTCTTGTCATGTTGTCTCATGTTTTGTTAAAGAGTAAATATTCAAAATTTTGGTTCTGGTGAGAATGCGATCTTAGGAAAGAAATGAGAATGAATCTGATGCTTTAGATTGTGCGATCTAAGGGTCAAGATCAAAATTAGGTGCAACAAAATGATTTGAAAATGCATCACGTCGAAATGCATCATAATCCTTTGAAAATGCACTATCTCAAAATCTAAGCGCAGGATGCAATCTGAGCCGCACGATGCATCAGATCCAACGGCTAGATTTCATTCTCATTTCTCTCCACAAGGTGCATTCTCACAGGAACCGGCCCCAATATTCAAAATAGTCTTTTATAATGTGTTTTCCCAATTCCCTCCTCAATAAGTTTTAATTATCTATGTGGTCCTCTATAATTGAGATTTATTCCCAAGACGATCCTTCGTAAATAATGTTACTTAAATGAGAATTTATTGAGGGTAATTTGGTATTTTTTATTCGCTAAATTTAGAGTTAATTCTTAAAATAATCATTTATAATGAAGTGCTTTCCAAAATAGTTTTTTCTAATTAAAGATGTGTATTTGATTTGAATTTTGAAATTTAAATTTTTTTTTATAAGTTTTAAATAATTCATGAATTATTTATAGTTAATATATTTTTTCAATTTTACATTTAGTTGTACAGAAATAACTGTTTCGAGAATATACTTTAAATTTGGATGATTAAAATACCAAAATATCTTCCAATTAATTATTATTTGAGTAGCATTATTTACGAAAGACTATCTTGGATATAAATCTGAATTATAGAGGACTATGTAGGTGATTAAAACTTATTGAGGATTGAATTGGAAAAACACTTTATTACATAGGAACATTTTGAAAATTTACTTTGTTAAATCTTTAATGTAATTTTTTGAAATTTTGAATTTTATTTTTAAATTCTACATTTATAATCAAATAAACTGAATTTTAAAATTAATTTCAATCATAAACCAAAATAATACGGAGTAACTTTAGAAAGGAGTGAACTAAACTACTCCGTCCGAGTCAATTTAAATTGTCTATTTTAACTTATGATATTTGGCTAAAGTTTTTTCAATATAGTGCAATTCAGAATTGTGATGGAATTAAAAAATATTCTATAAAAATTACATATTTAAAAAATTATCTTAAATGTTTAAAATAAGAACATGAATATATTATTTTATCAAATCAAATAAACTAAAAATATGAAGAACAAAAATGAAGGCGGGGGTTTTGGTATCACTTTCTCTTTGGCTTCTTGAATGGCTTTTTCCCCTTCCCAATACCCAAATAATAATACGCATCATTGTCTTCCTCATCATCACCCCCTCTTCTCTTCTTGTAGCCTCCCATTTCTCTTATTCTCTGCAGAAAAAAAAAAGCTTAAGTCAGTACATCCTATCCCATATTCCCATCCCATCTTTCGGCACACCTCTTTCATTTACACTATGTTTGGTTCAAGGAATTTGAAAGTGAAAAGAAAAGAAAATTAAGTGGAAAATAGTTTTTCTTGTTTGGTTAGAGGAGAAAATAAAGGAAAAATGGAAGGAAAAGAAAATGAGAAGGCAAAATGTACCAAGTTGAAGAAAAATCAATTTCCTCCCATTTTGGTGAGGAAAATGAGAGAAAACCATTTTCTTTTCTTTTCCTTCCAAATTCCTTGAACCAAACATAGTGTTAATCTCTCAAAACACATGGAAATCAATTCTGATTCAGTGTTGGGAATCGTATTAAAAAAGATCAGTTTAGTGAGTGCAATGACATGTTGATGTGGGAAGTGATTATTTACAATGCAGCCATTTCTTACCAAGGTGTTCCTCTATCTGTTTATACCACAACAGATCATATTGGTTTAAAAGTGAAATGGCAACTCCATATCGACCAGCTCTCGCTGTTCTTCCAACTCTGTGAATATAATCCTGCAGTGCGCCCAATTTGGTTATAAAAAATAAAAGAACAGAGGACACAAGGAAAAAAAACAAAGACGAATAACTTTTGGTATGCAAAAACTACCATTGCCTTCCTCAAGTTCAATCTGTTTGGTCAAATTAACTATACCACTGAGTTGTTAAGTAACTAAGTAGATACTCAGTCAAAGGCCGAGTAGCGATAAAGACCTTACTTTTCTTAGCAAAATCAAAATTGTTCCGACAGCTAATATGTATATGGGAGATGGTGGCAAAGTCTAGCATTGAATTGCAACATAGTTAATCACCATATCTGTAAAGGGAAGAAAGGGAAGATGGTAATCAATGCCAGACCTTAGAGTTTGTTGGGATATCATAGTTAATAACCATGTCTACATATGGGATATCAAGTCTTCGACTTAAAACATCAGTACAAATAAGAATGTTGCACTCTCCATCTGTGAATTTGTTCAGCGCTCCGAGTCTTTTTTCCTGTCACAATTGTCAACAAATTAGTACGCACGTAGTAATTTGAATAGAAGCATATGTCAAAATGAAACAAAGGGAATATCTGAAACCTGAGTCATTTGGCCACTAATTGGTATGGCACTTAGGCCAAGGTTTCTAAGCATTAAAGCTAAGAAACGAGTTGCATCACATGTACGTGTGCATCTCAGACGCATAAGGACATGCCTGAGAACTGTCCACTTTGTTTCCTTTATTATTTTGGTCTGATGACATGCCAAGACACTCTGGAGACACGGATGAGTGGTTACAAGAAGAAGCAGCCACTATTAATGACTTGAAAAAGTAATGGACTGAAGTGTTAAATAACCATTGGGAAGTTCACACACTCTGTCCACTCAATCTAACCTTTCTGTGTCCTTCTCTTCAATAAAAACCACTACTTAACATATACTCCCTCCATTCTTTTAATAGTAAGTCAAACATTTGGCGTGAAACGGGCAGTTAAAAAAGAATGGAGGGAGTATCTAACTCTTATTTTTCATTTTTCTAGCTTAATGAATTATTTTTATCGGGACCCATGCACACTAATTTGGTGAGTCCCTGTGGTACCTGTATTCTATATATTTAGAAAATCTTGTTACTCACACCCTAGTACATGTTCATAGGTTTAGATAGAGAATAGCAATAATGTTGAAGGCAGTGTGATGCTTAAATAAAAAATGAGGCACAAGCAGATTGAATGTTATAAATAGAAATCATAGTAACTACAACTAGCTCTTAAATGAGGAGTGTCAGGTCATGGAACTATTTTTTCCCTGTTGTTACTTGTTACTCTAGATTTACTACTTACCATAAAGGTAAAAGTTTGCCTTCCATGCAAGAAAAAAATTGTACAAACCTTCTTGCTCATGGTGGCAGAAAACAAATATGTCCTCTCACGGGGGGAAATATAACCCAGAAGCTTATCAAGTGCTTTCTCAAAATCAGCATTTAGTAACTTGTCTGCCTCATCCAACACCTTTATGAAAGAACGCCGGGCAGTTCCATAAGTGCATAGATAGGTGATCATAACTCCAAGAAACGCAAACAAAACATCAGAAAAGATGCATACCAAAAACTTCAAGCCACGGAGAGAAAAGCCTTCGGTATCTGAAAGATGGTCCAAGAGACGACCAGGTGTTGCCACCTGCACAACAACTGAGCTTATAAGAAACCAATGGGTTCAGTATTTCCACGGAACACCTTGTAAATATCACCATAGAAACTCTGCTCTAGTCTTAGCAGTCTGCCATGGTTCAAACTTAAGAAAATGTAATTGGTATCAATGTTCAGACCCTATAAAGGTGTAGGCCTTGGTTTAAAAGCAAAAATAAAAGTAAAACATTTAGAAAGAATATAAAATACTACGATTAGCATAATGAAACATTTATTAACCTGGAACCCACAACAAGTTCACAATAATGAGTTTAAATGCAACAAGTTCACAGAAATTATGCTCCATAAATAGCCAACATGACAAAGTAACTATCACCTCTATAAAACTAACTAAGAAATGAGCCTTAAAACTTGTCATCACCGACACCTACCAATAATAATCATAATAATAATAATAATAATAATAATAATAATAATAATAATAATAATGAGTAGTAATCAATAATAAAAACGAGATAAAATAAAAAATAAAATAAGTTCTAATTATTGTACTCCGTATATATTTATATGGAGAGTGAAAGCAATCATTCAAACTAAATTAATTACTCCGTAACATGCAATTAATGTTGTCAAGGGTTGAGGGTAAGATTTGATCGATAGGTAAGGCTTCTATTTATGGATGACTTTCTTATAAACAAAGGTGTAAGCCCTCAAACACCTAAATGTACTCTACCAGGCGGATGCCTAAAATACAAAGGGCATTGTCAAGTCCTTTTGTACCTAGCACCAAGCTTCAGTGCTGCCCCTTCCAAAAATAGCCCAGAGGCACACCTCAAGGCTTGAGGCGCAACGCTTTTTGAAACACTGATTGGTTTTACATGCGATCATTGTTAAAGTTTTCAATCCCATAGGATTGTAGTCAAGTATGTGAACTGCTCTCAATCCTGTTGGCTTTGAAGTACGTATATGACATATCATGACTATGCACTTGGCTGTTCATCACTTCTTTGAATTACAAATGCTAATACTTTGATGCTTATAATGTTTCTTTACAATAAACAAAATACATGTATATTATTTTTAACGAGTATATTTGATCATGCAACTTAGAATTCAAATTTCAGTATGATTCACGATTTAGAAATCAAGCCTCCCGATTCATGATATGAATGCAGATTCTATAGCCTTTCTTGTTAGTTATTTAACCTGGAATAAAGATGCGCACTATCGAGGTAAATTTGACACAATGTGTAAAAAAAAAATTAGATACAAAAACTGCAATACTTACAAGAATATTTGGTCGGTTTGCAAGCAAAATGCTCTGGCGTACTTTATCAATTCCTCCGACAAGCTGGATGAAAATTTTGCAAGAAATTGAGTTTGACAATTATGAAAAGAATATAGCATTGTTAAACATCATTCATTTGTCCTTCCCTAGCTTTAAAGCCTCTAACCCTTCCAAGTTCAAATGAAATAATATCAAAGAAAAATTACATGTTTACATCATCATTAAGCTATTGTGTGTTAGAAAGTGGCCTCATGCCTATACAAGCGTCAACCCAAAATATTGACTCAACTGATTGGGTAGCACGCATGCAAAGAACGGGTAGCTATTGGGCGGGCGAGAGGCAAGGAGTGGCTGGAGTGCTTGCAGTATGGGAATTGCAAAAGCTCCAGTCTTTCCTGAGCCCGTATGTGCAACCCCAATTATATCTCTCCCTTAACAACAGATACCCATTTCAATTACAGTACTGGTTTAGAAATTAGAGCCTTGCATGGAATTGAAAAAACAAAACTAAAAATGGGATGAACCTTCAAGAGCACGAGGAATAACCTCGGCTTGAATCTTAGAAGCGGTTTTCCAGCCCAAATTGTGGCAAGCCTCGACAAGTTGGTCACACACTCCTAATTCTTTGAATGATTTCTCTTCTTCTTCTTCGCTGTGTTCCGCCATTCTTCCTCTCCCACGCTCAGAATCCTAGATTTTTGCTGCAGAATCTAGTGACTGTTGTAGAGACATGGAACAGCAGGTTAAATATGATTTGCTCGCAGGGATGGAATGACAGACGTCGTTTTTTAATTAATTCATTTTCGGCAAAAGTGTAAAACAACTCTTTTTCAAGTGCTCTTCCCATATGTTAAAAAACAAAAGTCACCAAGTTCAAAAACAAGATTCTCCAAGCATTGATGAAAGGATATAGAGATACCTAATTGCGAAGGAAAAAAAAAAAAGAAGAAGAAGCCCGCTGCTGTGCCGGGGTCCAGAGGCGGCGATGCGGTTCGCGGCAATCGAGATGGGGGAGGGCGGAGGGTTTGGGAGGCGGATTGTGAGGAGGGAGTAAATTATAAATGGGCTTTGATTCAAACCAAATTAAATTAAAGATTACCAACAATTTAAATAACAAAATCATAATACTATAAATAAATACTCCTTCCTTTCACAAATTTTGATTCCAAAATCAAAATCAACTTGAAGGGGGTGGAGGGGTGTGTCCGGGTCGGGCGGGGTGGGGAGGGTTTACGATTTACCGGGGGGTTAGGGGGGTAGGAACCGTCAATTTTATGAACGGAGCACCGGAGCGCCCCCGGGTCATCCCATGACATTGCTGGAAACCTTGGTGATGAATGATATTTAATTAACAAAAAATGTTGGTGGACGAATCAAATTGCGGTTCGGCTTCTAATACTTTTATGATTGTTTAGTTGCCAAATATTAAAGATTTGTATTAAGGAAGACAATCAAGTAAATTCGACTGATCCAAAATTTGGCCTTCTAAATTTTTATGGTGGAGGCTTGAAGTTGATAGAAAAAGATTTTTATGATTTAATACGTATAAAGTTCGTACATACGTTCGGGGTCAAAAATATGTCTATTATAAATTTGTCACATGAAAAATTCATATTCGGGAGTATAATGCATATATTATATGTATGAGTGTATAATATGCGAAAAAGCTAACAAAGATATACACACACCTCCCCCCCCCCCCCCTTGGGGTCAACCCTGAAGACGGCGACAATTGAGTAAGATTGATGTGTATGAGTAGATATCGAAAATGACTTCCGTAAATATATATTATTCCGAAATAAAATTCATGACTTTCGCTAAATTTTGCATTTGACCACGAGTTGAATTTCAATTGACTCCATTTTTTCACTTGCCAAAGACCAAAAACTATAGAAAATACTTTCAAAAATCATTTTCGTCTTTTTCAAATTGAGCCTAGTAATGAACATTTAAGTATAAAAATTTGAGGTTTCTAACTATTCAAACACATCTTCAATTGCAATTTAAAAAAAAACCTTCATTCCTCATAAATTAAACTAGGGTTGAAATTTCATAAAAATATAGTTAGATCATTCTTGAGATAGAAGATAAAATATATATAGAGTGCTAATTTTGACCATATACAAGTATTCCCTAGTTGGAATATAAATAGAATCAAAAGAAAAAAAGATTAAATCAAGACTAAAATATTAAAAATATAAAATAGGAACAAGATGAAATTATTTGAGTTAATTAAAGTACGGAGTAGGTGTCAATCAGGAGGAGGGAATCAGTGTTATTAAATCCAGATCGAACCTGGCAGTCTGACCAGTCGAATCGCGACCCGGACACACAACCGATCCGGTCCAACCCCCCAAAAAAACCCGTAAAAACTAGAAAAAATCGAATCAATCTGAAAAAATCCGAATTGACCCGGAACCCATGCTCCCCGATCGCACTCGGGTTCGAGTTTATAATGGAGGGAATGGTGTAGGAAGTCCGTCCAAAAACAGTGACGGAAGCAGTGACAACATGTTAATCACACGTGGGTAGCAAAACGGCCACACGTGGCCCCTGAAGATAAGACCGTCCGCGTTGCTTTCGGGTGACTACCAAGGCTGCGGTCAACCTTTGATCCCCAAGCAAACATCCCCCCTTCCCATTCCTCACTTTACCATCTCTTCCCACGTGTTCCCTTTGTATAGGCCTCTTCTTTTACTCCTACCTTTTTTTGTTTGAAGAAAATTGAGCTTATTTTTTTTTATCTTGAATTTATTTTTATTAGGGAGTATGGGTCACAAGAGTCATACACAACATGATGTTATCCTCTCATGATTGTTATGACAAAAATGATAGTCCATGGGTTCTATTTTGTAGGGTGAATATAGTACTCTACGGTATATAGCTCGTACCGATACCGTACCAAATATTTCGGTTCGGTATGAGATTTTACTCCGTACCGATCCCGATTCTGAAATATCGGTTCGGTATGATACAATATCGATTTTGGTACAAATCGAGATGAATATACATGCTTACTTTACACCTTAAAATTTAACAATGTCCCTTTATTTTTGAAAATTAAAAGTGAATTTAAATAAAAAACATGAAAAATTAAAAAAAATGAATATTTAAATGCAAGAGATGCATATCAAAACTTAATTTATATTTCACAAACAAAAAAAAAATGAAAGACAACAAGGTAGTGTTTTGAATCTTTCTGAATACTTTAATGTTCACACACAAAAACTAAAACTCAAATAAAGTATAATTTACACATAATAGAACTTGAACCAAAATTTTTTAAATTATTATTTAGTGAATGAATATAAAAATATTACACCGGGGTATTACTTTTTTATAATATTTTAGTATATATGTTTGGCTCGGAATTTTCGGTATGAGACGTCACATCGTATCGTTCCCAAATATCGTATCGATCATTCAGTTCGGTACGGTTTGGTTCCTTCTCGGTACTCTTTCGGTTCGATATTTTTTGGTTCGGTATTCTCGGTTTTTTCGGAAAATTTTGGTATCGATTCGGTACTTGCTCACCCCTACTATTTTGTAAGGAGTACTTTGTATCAATGTCTTTTAACTCTAACGATTCAGTTTATGTCTCATGATCAAACATACAGTATTATTGAATCTTTTGGGCAATCCAAATGTAATTTTTGATCGTTGTATTATAATTTGTTATTGATGTTTAATTAAGTATGATCTTTTTTGTTGAAGAATTACTCTGGGACGTGACTGGAAAAATATTTGGTAGCGTGTATTTTACATTTTTACCTCTATGGCTCCATAGTTCACAGATCATCTATGCTCGTACATATATTTTGTTAAAAATCAATTGTGATCGAGTTTCATGTGTAATTAGAGACTATCTTGATCTATATAATTATATTAAGATTAAAATTGTGAAATAACAGCAGTTCTAAAAATAATTAACTAATGTGTTCTAGCAAGTCTTTGCAGTTTTAATTAAGTCTCTAAGCAGTTCTAAAAATAATTAACTAATGTGTTCTAGCAAGTCTTTGCAGTTTCAATTAAGTCTCTAATTCGTAGTTTGACATATCTAGACCCAAGCACAAATATTATTCGGATCCGATCCCCATAGCAAGATTATATGTTTGATAGATATCACATCACAGTGTCCATGAATAATTGTACCTTTAATAGTCTAAACAAAAATAATCTCCATTAACAAGTACACCTTTTGTCTCAAATTATTTGTCCTAATTTGACTCTTAATTATGTTAACTTAGACCATTAATTAAATATAATTTAAATAAAAAAATTTATAAAATTGGAAAAATACTAAAATAAGAAGGTACTAAAATAAGAGTTTCATGTTTCTTATTCCATAATAAAAGTTATAATATCAATAATGTTAACATATAATAGCAAAAAATATTGTGAAATGGTAATATACTAATATACAATGTCACAGTGTCATATTACAAATTTCCATTTCAGAGATAAAAATGTGAATTTTTTATTTCGAAAATAAGAGTATTGTTTTACTTCTATTTGGGTTGATATTTATACAACTTTGATATATCAAAATTGTATCTTAAATAAAAAATAATTATGTAAAATTTATGATATAATTAAATATATTTTTCTCACAATATATAGTTAAAACTAACATAGAAATCAAACTAGGACAAAAATGTAAAATATGCATTAAGTAGTACTAAAACATGTCATTTATCAATGTAGTACATACTTAAACTTTTTTATTCTCTAAGTAATACTTGGATAATATCTAGTGACGGAAATAATGTTTGATAGTGGATATTCAATTTGAACAATAATGTTCAGTGACGATGAACATTTACTTGAACAATGACCAGTGGTACTACATTAAAAAAATCACTTTATTTTAGTACTATTTAGGTAAATTCCTCCAAAAAATTGGCTAGAGGGGAATGGAATATCTTGCCCCGTAAACGCCATTAACGTGAAAGCCAGAATGGACGGAAGCTCGCTTAGAAACTTATATACGGTTCCCAGGTCTTTTTCGTCATTCCTTGATGATGATGATGATGATGATTACATAGGAAACAAGTATGTGCATTTTTTAATTTCTTTTTTGTCACATTTTAATTTCACTTTCTCATTTGTACCCAGAAAAAACCTTTGAGTTTTCCAGCTTCTATCTATCTATCTATCTATCAATCCTAACTCCTCAGACAACGACTGCTCGCACTATCCACCAGCTAGCTGTCAGTCAAAGGATTGGGGTTTGACCTTTCTATTCACCACGTGCCGATTGCGCTCGCCACTCAAATTCCCATATGTGTATATATATACACCTTCTAGAGAAGTCCAACTTTCAAAACAAAAGAAATAAAAAAAAATCAGAAGCTTTGCCGGAAGGAAAGTCCGGCGAGGAGTTTGAAGGGCGCGCGGGAGATTCGAGTGACATGATGATGAAGAGTTACGGCGAAGCTGTGAACGATCAACGGCAGCGACTGGATATGCCGCCGGGGTTCCGGTTCCATCCGACGGATGACGAACTGGTGGTGCACTATCTCTGCCGGAAATGCGCCGGCCAGTCAATCTCCGTTCCGATCATTGCCGACATCGATCTTTACAAGTTTGACCCCTGGCAGCTTCCCGGTAAGCACGCTGATAATACTCATATTTTCAATTGATTTTCCGGGTTTGGATTGAATTATATTTCAGCTAGCCAATTAATCTGGGTCGGGCTCGACGCAGGTTTGGCGTTGTACGGTGAGAAAGAATGGTACTTCTTTTCCCCGAGAGACCGGAAGTACCCGAACGGGTCGCGCCCCAACAGGGCTGCCGGAACAGGGTACTGGAAGGCCACCGGAGCCGATAAGCCCGTCGGTAAACCCAAAACTCTGGGGATAAAGAAAGCTCTGGTTTTCTACGCCGGCAAGGCCCCTAAAGGCTTAAAGACTAATTGGATCATGCACGAGTACCGTCTAGCTAACGTCGACCGTTCCGCCGGAAAAAGAAGCAATTTGCGGGTACGAATTTGTAATTAATCAAATTAATCGACCAAAAAGATTGAGATTTTATATTCTAAACATGTTAAAGATCGAATTTTTACAGCTTGATGATTGGGTGTTGTGCCGGATATACAACAAGAAAGGCACGGTGGAGAAGAACTATAACGCCGTCGGCGATCTACCGGAAGTTCAAGAACAGAAGCCGAACATCATCAAACAACCCGGGACGGCGCTGCTGCAGGCGCCGCCACGGCCGCTTCCCGCGGCGGTGGAGGCCAAGAAGGAGCACGTGCAGTTCGACACGTCGGAGTCGGTGCCGAAGTGGCACACGGAGTCCAGCTGCTGTTCGGAGCAAGTGATGTCTCCGGCGGGGTTCGCCGCCGAGAAGGAGGTGCAGAGCGCGGCAAAATGGGACGACATGGATTTCCAGCTCAACAACTTCATCGATCCTATGCAAGATGATCTGTTTCATTACCAGCAGTACAATGATCCCTTCCAAGACTTGTTCATGTACTCGAACAAGCCTTTCTAAATTTAAGAAAAATATAAGGAAAAAAAAAACAAAGAAAACAGAGCTTTTGTTTAAATTTAAATAGATTGATTTGTTCAATATTACTGGTAGCTAGATTATACTAGGAGCTCATTAGGCGACATTCTTTGTCCCACTGAAAATACTTAATGTTCAAAATATTTTGGTCATTTCACAAGCTAACCATCACTGTTCATCTTCTTAATTAAATTATCTTTTACTGTATAAATTTTACATACTTGGCAGAATCAAATGATGAAGATAAATACAAGATTTTTATATTTTAAAGTGTACAAGATTTTTAGTATAAAAAAGTTTCATCTTTAATTTCTTTGAAAGAAAATGCTTTAATTATGTTTTTTTTCTTTATTTTTTTGGAGAATAATTAAATTTCACTGCAAGGAGACAATTTTTGTAATACTCATATCATGTCAAAAATGATTTTTATATTTTTGGCAGAAGATGTGATAAATTAAACATCTGCGATTGATATGCATTCACGTAAACATGTCAAGCAGGTAACATAATTTTCATTTAGGGAAAATTTTAATAAGTTAAACATCAAATTAAATGATCACTAGATTGTACATGGTTAGTTTTTGAAGGTATGAATAGAAGAATATAATAAGGAAAGGTTTTTATTGGTGGAGGCTAATCTTATATGTTAGGTGGAGACTATAAATTAATTATACTCGGTATTAATTAAAGTTGAAATTATTACAGAGTAACCAATAGTTGGTACTATTATATCAAGTCATTTTCCATTTACAGTATTAATTTTAGGAGGAGATTATTGATTAGGTTTCCATGGTGCTTGCTTTTTCATATGGCTTTTGGATATGTTCAATGAATTTCCAAAAAAGGAAAAGACATTGTATTGCTCGTCAATCATCATTCATCAAACTAGTGGACATAATATAAAGTTGTAGATAATACATTACATTATAAAGAACACAAAAATCACAAAAATCACCGTCCCAGTGTATTTGTCCAATTTGACTTTTTTGAGTCAAATTAGACAAATTTTAAATTTCAATTACTCTCACTTTGTATTGCATATTATTTCGTAATATAATAAAATACAATCTTGAAAATTCTTAATAAGATAAATCTAAATAAATCATTTTTACACTAAAATACATTACAATTTGAGAGTAATTGAAGCTCAAAGTTCATCTTGCTTGACTCGAAAAAGTCAAATTGGACAAATACACTCAGACAAAAGAGTAAGAAAAAAGGGGGAAAAAAGTTGTTGATAAGGGCAGCGTGCTCATTGACCAACTTGGAATAATTTACGGAGTATAAGTAGAGGAAAACGTGTGAATTGAATTGGGTCAAACATTCCAAACAGAATACAAGTAAAGTTTTTTTCATTAATTTTTTTTAAATAATGCCAATAAGCTTGTTTAGATGCAACTTGTTTCCAATATATTACACACACACACACATCCCTCTGCATGCATATCCAAGTTTATGTATGTAAGTATACAATTGCTTCTGTTCTGTTCCAATGCATTGGTTGGTCTCAAAAACAAAACAAAAAAAATTGAATTGAAAGTTTGAAACACAAAAATTTTCCTCCAAGAAAGGGCAGTTTTACTATAAGCTCCACACACACACACACACATATATATAGCTGAAATATGAATACTATACCTCAGCACATTCCAAATTGAGGCGTTCCATCTACTGCCGGTTCGTTGCCCCCTTTTAACTTACTCGTCCAAACGGTGGTGCCCTCCGATGAACAGTGGCTGCCCCCAAAAGGTTTGGGAAGGGCGGGCTATTACAGAGTCCTTTTTAGGAGTTGATCATGAGATCTTCAAAGGAAGAAAGAGTTTCCAACTGCTTCCCAATAGAAGCAATGGTCTTTCTGCACTCCTCAAATCTATTAGCAGCTGCTGCCAGTTCCTCTTCCTGCCAAACACAACACCGAGATGATGGGAACATATCAGTGAGCAGAATATAGCCTGTTTGGTTAAGCCTCAAATGGCTAAAGTGGGAATATTCAAAATGAATATCTAACCTTATTCAATTTACAGTCTCCAATGTTTCGCGCTGGTCTTAAGCGCAGACTCTCTATTTTCCTCAACTTCACAATGGCTTCCTGTGAAAACCTCTTTTCCTTCTTCACTTCTTCTTCAAGAGAAGAAACTCTTGCGCGCAAATTCTGCACCTCATGCTCTGCAGCTTTGAGTCCAGACTCTAACTCCTCTCTCTTTCCATTGCAATCCTTTAGTTCAAACTCAACACCGTGCCTTATCTCACTCTCCCTCTCCAGCTGAGTACGAAGCTCCAACAGATTGGCCTCTGTTTCCTCTAACCGCTCCATTGATTTCTTGAGTTTTAGTTTTGTGTCATCAAGTTCTGCCTCAACAGATTTCCTTCCTTTTCGTGCCATATCTAACGTAGCTTGAAGCTCTGCCATGTCCACTTCCATTTTCTGTAAGTTCTCTTTAAAAGTTCCATTTACCAAAGCTAACTCGGCTCTCAACTCCATCACCTTTGTCTCTGCGTCTTTTAACTGCTTGCTTGACGTTTTGAGATGGGATTGGCACTGTTTTAATTCCATCTCCAGTTTTCTTTTCTCTGCCTCTATATTCTCTAGCTTCTCATCAACTTCATTATCTGGCTCATGCGATGCCGCTAGCTTCTCCATCTCAAGAAAATCATCCATCAGATTCTTGATGTCTGAGGAAGACGAACGTGGCAATCGGTTTCCACTGGGAGACTTTTTTATTCTAAACTGATCTGATTGGGTATCCGCGAAAGATTGTGCTTTGTGAGCAAGAGCAGCCTTGAGCATGCGACACTCACCTTCAAGCTTGCTCACCTTTCTTGTGCTCTCCAAATGTTGCTTGCTGGCGGTTTCTGCAGCGAGTGTGCTTAGATCCCTCTCTTTTATCATGAACTCAAGCTGCGCGCGAAGATCTGTGGCCCCAAGTGCTTCAAATCTTGCAGCTTGCAGTTCGGACTGGAGCTCTGCGAGCTGTTTCTCTAGTTCGGACTTTCTTGACTCCCATTGAGAGCTCGCGTCAGATATGGCTTCTAGAATCTTCTGTTCCTGCTCTTCCCTTGAGTGCCGGAGCTGTCTCAGACACTCTTTGAGTGCTCCGTCAAGTTGACTGGCACGTTCTTCAAGGGCTGAGTTCTTTTCGGTGGCAGCTTCAACTTGTTGCTTCAGTGTCAAAACTTCAGCTTCAGCCTTTTCCCAACCTAGCATGGGAAATGTGAAGAATTATCAGGCACTCTGTGTTGGTACCTAAGGGCAAATTTGGGCGAAACTGATGAAAATGTTGAGTTTTCTGAAAGGAAACCCATTCAATTGACTTTCAGCCAAAGCATAACAAGACAACTGAAATTGCCATACTGATCCTAAATCTTCATTAATGAAGAGTGGCAAACTCATGGCGCATAGATACTGCATAGATACAAGCAGCCAAAAAGGAAAGCACAACAGAAACAGTTATCTCTTTCCTAATTGCTATATCACTAGCTAAGGGTCCATTTACGACTCGTAAAAAAAGTAGTTCTTAAAATGAACATATTAGTTCTCAAGTATACCTACATATGCTTTTAGCTCATTATACAATCAGATATCATATGCGGACTAATAACTCCAAAATTCTAAAAGCAAAAACAAAAAATTCATTTTACTTTGCATTTTTGTTTCCCTTTCCCAACCATTTCAGAGTTCCAAACATACCCTTAAATGAAGTCCATAAAAAGCAAGCAGTGATCTATAAAACTGGGATGCGAAGAAAAGGAAATGGTGCATCTCTACCTGAGACGGCATCCTCTGCAACTTTTGCATGCTGCTTCACCAAGTCTTCTTTAGCACGAATATTAAGCAGAGCTTCTGAGAGTTTAGCCGATATAGATTTCATACTCTCGTCATGATCTTCGTTGTTTGATGCAGTTTTGGATGTGACTTCCGGCGATTGATTAGAATGGTTTGGAATTGCCTTCATCAGAAAACATCAAAGCATCAGGATTGACAACTCAAATAACAAGTGCTTTGAGGACGCCAATAGTGAGAAATAAAATGAAATGTAGGGGCAGAATGTGAAAGTAATAGATATCATATGGACAATTTAACCAAGTTATGTTCAAAGTCTAACTAATACTTTCATTTGAATGAAATGGAATCCAAGAAAAAAGAGCAACTTCATTCACATTAAGCATTCATGATGATGGTGAGAAGATTCGGTTAAAAGAATTCCAAAATTGTTCATCAGAAATGAACAAAGAGAAACTAGACCTCACATTTGGGAATATCTACATCATCCATTACAACATATGATTGCATATTAACCTATGGTAGAATCTATGTGTCAAAATACACTAAATTTAAATCCAATAGATTAACCCAAGATATTATAAAACTCACTGAGTCATTGGAAAAGAATAAGATCCAAGATCCATAAAAATGGAAATTAAGGAATGGGATCCTTGTGAAGGAGAAGAAGTCAACCTAGGTACCTGATCATCTGAGAATCTCTCGGAATGTGATGAAATCGAACCGGAGCTTTCGGTTTCGCCGCTGGGAATCTTGTCGGAGGACTTCTTCCGCCACAGCCAGCTCCTCCGCTCCATCTCCTCCTCCCTCACTTCATATGCAAAACATCTTATTCAATTCCAGCAATTTCTGCATTGCAGTAACTCACCCCTGAAATTCAGTGCTATTTGATTTCAGATCCAGAATACTAGTAGAAAAAATAACCAGATTCACCACACCATTCCCCATCATGGAAGTTTATTTAATGAAGGTTAAATAAAGTGCAGAAATCCCATAACTTGACTGAGAAGTCTGATGAAAAAAGGGCAAAGGCAAAAAAAAGGTGGAATCTTTAAAAGAAGTGGGTTATTGACAATTAGATTTAGGGTGGATTTCTGGAACTTTCCTAATCCCTATTTTGCTTAGAAAAGTACAGATGAATCCAACAATCACCAAACAACCTACTACACACAAACTTGCACGAACCTCAAAAGAAGCAATTCCTAAACAAACGAACAAAGATTAAAAAAAAAGGGGCATTTTGGGCACCAAACACAGTGTGGCCACACCTACACTAGATTAATCCCTTTGAACAACTCATCTGATGGCTACCCCTCAATTCCCAAGTTTCATTTCTTTTTCTTTTTTCCGAAAACTGGGTGGTGTTTTAACTTCAAAGTGAAGAAAAATGAAATCAAGAAACTGGATAATCTATTCATGTCTGTAAATTCAAAGAAATCATGAAAATGAGAATGGATGATCAATGGTTGGTGACCCACAAACCCAGAAAAGCAGATCGCAGAAAAAGGACTTTTTCCCGCTCCTCCTTCCTTCCAGATTGAAATGCACACACTTTATTATTTTTATTATTCATTATAATTATAATAATACTCCGGGCATGAGGAGCACCCAAAGAAAAAGAATGAAACACCAATTGAATTTAATTAAAATAAAGAAAAAATAAAACCTCAGAACTGAGGAAAGCCCTTATCAGATTTCACTCCAGTTAGGTGAAATCTCCTTAATCAAATGAACAATCTTTTAATTTTCTATACTGTATGATGAGTGGCTGATTTGACCTTCACAATTTTTAAGTTTAAATTCTTTTAATACTCTCTCCCCCTAAAAAGGCGAAATTTCTTACTATATTTAAGAAAAGGTAGGGAATTTATTGATAATACATACAAATGAATTTTTAATTTTTGAAATGTAGAGTGGATTTAAGAAAAATTAAGTTAATACAAAGATTTTACTGGGCCAAAAAGAGAAACAGAAGCAACAGTGCTAGACACGTTGGGAGTGCTGGGTTCAATAGTTCCGTTTTGTCAATATTATACGGAGTGAGTAATCACAACAAATATTTGCTTCCACGACTCAAATTATCTAAATACAGAAACATCCTGTAATTTACTCCATAATTTTATTAAAATACTTTGAAACAATATTTTGGAGTACATTTATTCATGAACTAATTATCATATTTCTTTAATTGTATTCTTTTCGATCTTGCATCCAAGGCCGGAGGCAAGAAGAGTCTCACACGGGGCAGAGGGAAACCCCGCCCCTCACCCCTAGCGGGAACGGAAAGAGCGAGTTCCACTCCCGTTTTTTCTGTTGGCTTCCGTCCCCGTTTCGAACGTTCAATGGCGATTTATTTTTTTAAATTTGTAATGGTAAAAAATCAATTTTTTTGCTCTCCATTATTTATGATCACTAGCTTCTCTCTCTCTCTCTCTATGTGCTTGTCGTCCATTTCATTATTTGGCTGAGAGAATCCTTTTTGTTTTTCAACAGAGGGAGGTGAGGGCAATAAGTAAATTGAATGTGGGATCCACGCGCGACAACAAGAAGCTCCCACCCGTTTTTCCATTTCTTTTTCCGTCCTGTCGGATGATGATCCTTTCAGAGTCCAACTTCTTCCCAGTTACGGAGTACGGAGTATTATTTACACTCACTTTTCTTTTATCTATTTTTGTTATTTATTTGATGAAATAATATAGTCTTTTCACATCTTCTTTTGTAGAATTTTTTGTGTATTTTTTGAATATATAAATTTTATTTTTTAATTTTACACATACAATCAGATAAATTGAACTGAAAATAAAGTCGCTAAACCTTGTAAACAGAAACAGGATGAAGGTTTTAGGACCGAGGGAGCATGTTCGCAAGAAAATGACTAAACTGAAGTTAAACGTGAAAAAAATATTAAAATATGAGTCCTATATTTTTATGTACAATATCAATAATACTACGGAGTTGTATATATTACCAAAAATACAATGAGATGTCATTATACAACGTCATAACAATACTATACAAAATCTTATTTTGAAAGAAAAAATATGAAACGCTTACTTTGAGAATAAATGATATATCTTGTTCTTATTTGATGTGATTTCTTAAAAAATAAAGGGACAAAACATCCAAGTAAAAACTGAAATTTTTTTCATATTGTTGATTTGCATTTTCTCCATCCCAAAAGAACTTTAGGGTCCGTTTGGTATACGGAGTTGACGGAATTGGAATCGGAATTGAATTGGATTGAAATTCCATGAGATTCAATTCCATAGAATTGAATTTTAGCAATTCCAATTTATTTTTTGCACTATCAATTCCAAATTCACATAATTATTGTGCTACCAAACGCCATAAATGGAATTGATGTTCTCAATTCTAATTCCATAGTATGAATTCCGTATACCAAACGGGGCCTTACTCATTTTCCTTACGTTTCAAAAACATTTTCCACTTGTTTTAGTATTTTTTTTTCCTGTCTAAACCCGACTAAACGAATTCATACGGGGTAATATTTTTCTAAAACTCCGTTAAAATTAAATTCGATCAATCTTTTAAAAACGGAGCGAGTAATATCTTTAATTAACATAGTGAAAAAAAAGGAAATCAACAATTAAGATGGCCAAAAATATGTTCGAAATCCAATGTGAAAGCAAAGGAATCTAGAGACTTTTTGAAGAGAATGGGAGCAATCATGTGAGTAGATAGATGAATATGAATCCAATTTATTTTCGTTGGTGGGGTTTGGTTGCCATCATAACACATCACTGTTTTGGTAATGTAATTATGTGAAGGTCATGTGTTTTCATTTTATGCTTTTATGGAAAAAATGGGATTATTAACCTTATCCTTGCTGGATGGGGTCTCTCCACATTGAGTTGGACAGTTACTTGATTAGAAAATGTGAATTGAATTATGGTCTTAACGTTGACAAATTAAAATAAAAACATGTGAATGATGGATACTACAACGTTTGCAAGGGTCTCCATATTACGCATGCAATGCAATGCATGATCCTCTCTCTATTATTGCTCATAGGAGTTTTATGCTCTTAGGCCATTTGGTGGATCGAGTCCTCATCCACTCACTACCACGTCAATTCTTCCCCTTCCTATTACAACGTATCACGCAACAAGATTGTGGATCACGCTCATCACGCCTAATTTTCTTAAAATATATTTAAATAAAAATAATTTACAACAAATTAAACAAATATTTATTTAAATTCGAATTAAAAATTATATCGACATAATGCAAAAAAAAAAACCAAAACAAAAAAATCAAATAAAATTCAAATTAATTTATGTTTTTTTAAAAATTACTAACCAAAAACCAGAAAACTCTTAAATTAAAAAAAACTAAAAAAATGAAACTAAAAAGTACTCCCTATGTTCCTATTTATATTGCATGTTTCAATTTACGATATTTGACTAAAATTATTTTCAAATTATTTTATATGAAAAACGATATAAAATTAAAAAAAATAAGAATTACCAGTACATGTTAAAATATTACATCAAAAGATATACTAAACTAATGGTGACATGACTATATTATTTGATCAAATGACTAACAAAAATAGAGAAAAAAAGTGAATGAAGTTTGACCCTGTGAATAGTAAATAGACAATTTAATTTGGAAGGAACGAAGGGAGTACATGACAACCATAACAATACTATAATCGATAAATAAAAAACAATACCATACAAACATGTTTTGAATTTAAAAATGAAAAAGATGCCAGTGAGGCGTAGTTCAACCGTTGACATAAAGGTGAGAGAGATCACGAATTTGAAGTTTGGTGGTTGCGATGAGGGATAATCATGCAAAGCATGAGGCCTCTCATTTCCTTTTTCTTCCACTTTTCTTTTCTTTTCCTCTCTACCCAAACAAGAAACACGGGTTTCTATCTCATTTTTTTCTTTTCCTCTTTTAAATTTCTTGAACCAAACATTGAGTTAGCATTTTAGGATTTTGAAAAAAATACAGAGTAATAATTATGCTTTTGTTTTCAGATTTCTAAAAACAATAGAGTAGGCTTATTTTGTACTCCTATATAAGGTTTGTATTACTCCATATTTATCATGAAAATTTTGAATTCTTATAGTACAAAACTTATGTTTTCAGGATGACAAAGCATAAACTGAAAATAAATACATCTATATTAAATTAAGATACAGAGCATATGACACTGGATATGTGGTATAAAGAGATTGCTAATGAAAGGAATTGTTACATTGACTTACAAAGTTTTGAAATGCATCTTCCATGAAAATGTAAACAATTTATACTTTAACTTGCAAAGTTTTGAAATGCATCTTCCATAAAAATGTAAACAATTTATACTGAGAAAACTGCAACCAAAACCAGTGCATTAAAATGAGTATGGGAGACAAAAAAAAACCAAACTCATAGCACAAATAACAACAACACAAACTCAATAAAGTTCCACAAAAAAAAGATAGGGTCCTAGGAGAATCTGTGTACGCAGATCCTACATTTCTAGCCCTACTAGGGAGTAGAGATCGAGGCGGTTTTCAAGATAAATCATAAATAGTACTCTGTAACGAGCAACTTAATATCATAAAAAGCTTTTTTTTGACTACCTCTTCAACGCAAAGAGAACAATGAGCCAAATTAGAGTGACAGAGAGCAAACCTGTTGGTGATCTTATGGTCTCCTCCATGTGTTTACTCATATATAGATCAGTGGGTGTTCGATACACCGTATGATGGAATCTGGTTGCCTCCCCCATAGAAAGTATGTCATTTATCATCTATTTATTTTCCATCATAACATACTTTTTGATATATACCCCAAAAGCCAAAATAATGCATTCAATTAACCCTTCATGAAAAGTACCAATAAGTAATGAAACTCTTCAATCATGGATTCTTATGGAAAATCATTTAGTTTTCACTTGACAATTTCCATGGAAAGTTGTCCATTCTTTGCTTAAGTGTTTTTTCAAAACGAATCCCTTTTATATGGTTAGGGTTCATCCCTAACAAACACAAAAGGAAATTAAAACATTCACCCTTCTAAATACCACCTAGATCTACCATTCTCTATCATGGGACAGTAATGGAGATAAAAGATGTAGATTACTTTGAAAATGCTAACGCTAAACACTGTCCGTAGATAACCTTTTCAAAATGCTAGTGTTATTTACAATCAGGCCCAAAAAAAGTGTCATAACTTGTCATGAATACTTAAATTACTACTACACATAGAGTAGTACTCCATTAAGGAAAGAGAAATATGTATATGTATTCCTTTTGCATATTTAAAAATGTATCTATGGATCTCTCTAGGTTCATCTCAGCAGAAATATGGAGGATTAAATTAAAGCGGCCGGCCGAAAAGAGATTATAATCATAATAAATTCAAAAAAAAAAAAAAGAAGAGGGAAAATTGGAGTGATGGCAGGCCATCTGGAGACGTACGTACGCTAATCATTGCCAATGGGCAATGGAGTCCATGTGTTCTTGTTGGGCGGCAGTGAATTGTGCCTGAATGGAGGAGGCGGCGGCGGTCTGGTGGGCGGCCGGAAAAGGCAAATTGAGGTAGGGCTGGAGGTGATGGTCGGAGGGGGAGGAAGCGTAGGGGGAGATTAGGGCGGAATTGGAAGGCGTGGAGTAGACACTGGTGCTAGGGTTATAAACGGATCCCAAATTGTTGTGTTGATCGAGGAGGAGGACGCCGCCGTTTTGGTGGTGGTGGTGTTTGGGGGGGAGATTGAGCCTCTCGCCTTCGAGCTCCCTGTACTTGTTGAGGTAGATCTTGAGGGGGGAGACGTAGTCCTCGAAGCCTAGGGTGGTGATGGCCCAGAGGATGTCGTCGCCGTTGATGGTCTTGCGCTTCTCGCGCTGGCACTTGTCGGAGGCCTCGCCGGTGACGAAGCTGATGAACTCGGAGACGCATTCCTGGACGGTCTCCTTGGCGTCCTTGGAGATCTTGCCGCCGCCGGGGATGGCCTTCTTCATGATCCGTCCCACGTTCGCGATCGGGAGGAACTTGTCCTGTTCCTTGTTGTTGTTGCCGGTTTTCGAACAGGGGCTGGTCTCTTCCGGGCTCGCCCCGGATCCCAATGCGCTTCCCAGCGTTTCCTCGTCTTCCATCATATCATTGGACGATGATGAAGAAGAAGAAGATGGTGAGTGATTAATGGAGAGTGGATTGAAAAAGTTAGTTAATCGGTGGGGTGGTGAAAGATGGAGGGAAGGAGGAGGAGCATAAAAGAAGGCATGCTAAACAAAGTGAGTAACGAACAAACAAACTGGGGGGTGCCCTTTGACCCAACCCGGCATGACTCGTTCATTCCCAACCGTACAGCACAAATCTCCCCACATATAATGGGCATTGTCTTCATATTGGCTCTCTCATGGTTGGGTTGTCACTCCAAAAACATTATCTTATTGTGATCCCAAAACATTGTTCAAAAATTGAATAAAGTACGTCATTTACTTATGAGAAATGCTAGAGCCACAAACATTTCGATCACAAAATACACAAACTTACCATTTGTGTATTTAAATGTTTACTTTTTAATTATTCAACATAATGATAGTATTTATCGTCTACGTATATCTACATGAGTATCTACATGAATAGAGACAAATTTACATATAGACAACACTAGTTTTAAGCAACAAAAACATTGGTACATGTGATTGATATGGTGTGTAACATTATGGATGATATTCTTCATGAATGGATATCCAAATAATAGGTGACATCGACTGTGAACTGAAGTCGGGATTGGATCAACCGACCTGTATGATATTCTCTATCAATGAATAATGAATAATCATTTATACTTAAAAGTGCATAATATCTTACTCAACTAATTCATAGATCTTCAAGCTCAAACTAATATATAGAGCTACTCAGATTAGACATCATTTAGATGCAACCTTGAAAGAACATCACCACAAACACCCACTATACTCATTCAACTTTTTTCGATTTGAACAAAATACACATTTCCTTCAACTTTACAAAGAACAATTCAATTAAATCCCATAAAAGTAGGGTATAAAAAGAATGTTTGTGCAAACTCTCTTTAAAATATAAAGCGATTGTTTTCAGATGACCCGGGTTGAAAGTTGCATTAATTCCCACTTTAAAATGAATAATTAATCTAGCAATTAAACTAACGGGATATAGGCAGATCACTCCAAATTTATTTAAATAAAACCCAAACTCAATTAAATAAGCTCCTTATTGGCATCAAATGCATCTCCTTTTCCTTCATTCTGAGGCTCAATAACTTACATGTACTGTCCAAATCACACTTGATTTTTTTTATACCTCTTACACCTTTACACACCAAAACTCTCTTAATCTCTTTTCATTACAAAAACTGTATAGGTATTTATGGTTTAGGCGATAGCATAAGTGAGCGTCTCAGCCTCCTTGGGACGCCACATTGTCTTTTGCACACAAAGCAACCCTTCATTGTCCTTAGAGTAAGTCATGCGAATCTCATAATGCATAGATTTGAACATGTTTTCGACTTCACTTAGAGTGACCACCTTATCACGGACTATGAGCTTCCCGCCGGGCCTTAAAATCCGGTCTACCTCAGCAACCAACGCCGGTAAGCTACACCTGCAAGTCACCATATATAGCACATGCTATTAGGTAACACCTAAGTCTAGTGCACCTATCAAATATGAAATTTGTTGTTGTTTGGTTGGTACCCACTTTGTCTTAATCTTGGAGAAGAGATGATCGGCGTGGAGAAGATCATATGACCTGGGATAAGTGCTGAATGATTCACACCAATCGTGATAAATTCCAAAAAGACCCCTCTCATATATTATGGGAAGCGTGTCGGGAGCATCTATAGACACAATGTTCATAACCCATACATTCAACTCCCTCAATGCAGCTGCAAATCTGTGGCAAACATTGGAAACAGATCAAGTTGTATAATGATTATGTACTTCGTAGATATATGCATGTACAAAAACAAACAAGACATAAGTTAATCAAACCATTTATCTTACTATACTAAGTTACCATTAAACCACCTTGAACTTTAATTACATTGTACTCAAAGCTCAAGAGGATAAGTTTGTTGTCATATACTCATATTTAAAAACGGTTAATAACCGATTTGACCCCTCGACAATACTCTTACTGTCTTACACAATGTGATCCTCAACTTTTTGATGAACTTAATTTGAACTTGAGCTATGAAATTTTAATACAATTTTTTTCTCCTACATATTTGGTTCTAAATAAGAAGAGTATATTAGTTTATTCACTAAAAATAGGCCTAAATTGATTTTGGCTCTCAACTATTTAAGTTTGACTCATCTTAGTCCTCAGTGCATGACCATGAGCATATCATTCTTAACTAGAGCAAAATATGAATGGGGATTAAATTGAGTCTAAATCGCATAGTCCGGAAGTTGAAGACCAAATTGAGTTCAAATATAGTCAAGTATCGAAATTGAGTACTAGTTTATAGTCAAGGGACCAAATATGGTATTCCCTATATACTGTATAAAACAACAGCATTGGGAATACCCCTTTATTATGCCTGCAAAATACTCCCTCCGTTCCCCAAAAAATGTCATGTTTAAACAAGGAAAGCTGTTTATAATTTGGTCAAGTACACTCCTATATTAGCTTGTCTCGACTAATCATGACCCTTTTTTGGGAGAAGATGAAAAAGTTTTTGAAACAAGATTATTAAATAAATATAACGCAGTATTGTTGTTGTTATTATTGGGGGGAGTGCGCACAAAGGGGCCATTGGACAGAACCACCAGAAATTGACTGCTTACCCTCCATAGATGGCACGCATGTCCATGACATTCCGCACACTAGACCAATCGAATCCCAGTCCATTCAAATATGACTTGGTCACCACTCTTTTCCAGTGCTGGTAATCTAGAATGAAATCATCTGGTGCTGGCTTCCCATACACACCTGTCTGGGAACTCAGTAACCAGTAAGGTGACTTTTCTAACCTAGCAGGCCATGCTTCTGGCCATTGAGACCCTCTCTCATGTAAAGCAGTGGGAACTTTGTGCATGCAAGATTGTAAAGGCACATTCCTGAAACATGTGATGTGATACAAAGAAAGAGAGGCAGAGAAAAACATGACTCTCAAATAAGACTAAAAATAGAAAACGGGTGGCTTTTTTTTAATGGAATTAATGTCCTTATCTTCATGCGAAGAAATACTGCATACCAGGCTGCGTCTGGATCATCAGATTCTTCACAAAGTGGAGGATCATCTTGTGATCTTTGCTCATAGCACTCATTAGAAATAGGCTTCTGAAATATGGCAACTCCTATTCTATTTAGTCTGTCCTTGTTTTTTGCAAGTAATTCCCAGCACATTGAATTGGTTAATTTCATCATGGCTGCCAACAATACACCCAAAAATTTAAAATAAAAAGGAAACTTGCATTGACTATATGTCATCGGAAATTCGGAATAACATAGACAAGATGTGTTTATTTGACTGGAGTGGTAGGCTGACTACCTTCCCAGATCTCAACATCCTCTGAAAGTTTCAGGTAAACGGGAGTAGCAGACCACACAAAGTAACCTCCAGGCCGAAGCAAACGATTCAGCTCGAGAAGAAGTTTCCCGCCTAGGCAACACAAATAAAACTTCAAGCATCTGAGTTCAATGATAATGGAGTAATGCTTCAAAAAGTTCATAAAATGGAGACAATGGTAAACATTTACCACCAAAGACAATGTGAACACGATTTACTTTGTGTTAAGCATAACATTAACTTAAAAAATGAAAACCACATGCATCCACACAAAATATATGGCGGGAAATGAATTTTGAATACCTTCAATGTGCCATGGAACCCTGCACCTAGCACAATGAACTATATCAAAGACTCCGCCGGGGAATGGAAGCCTTTTTGTACCCATGACAGCAGATATAGCAGGAATGCCCCTTTCAAGTGCAAACTGAACCTGAGCTTCATGTTCATCTTTGGGAGCTAATGACATAGCCAAGACATCTTTTTCAAAAAGATAGCCTCCAAAGCTGGCAACCCCACACCCAACATCTAATATAACACGTGAATGGGTTCCCCATGCAATTTCTGGCACAGACTGCAATAGTAATGCAACCATCCAGGTAAGCATCATACTGTTGGAAGATGGAGGGAGTGATATTATGAGCTTAGCAATTAATTCTCTTCTTTACAAAAACAAAATGTTTTTGCTCACCCCATGATCCTAATCTGCAGTCTGACTTTAAGATGGAAAAAAAAATTTGAAACTAAAGATGGAAAAAAAGATCATCCATAATACTCCATAACAAATAAGAGTCATCCAACCAGTCATAAAGGAAGCTGGAATTGAAATTGCCTCTATTAGACTGATTATGAAATGTGCCTAAAATGTCACAATATTTTGCTTCAATTGCTTTCAAAAGATTTTGAATCTATCCCAACCATTCAATTCATTCAGCCACACAACCTACCCTTCAATTGCACTTTACCACTTTATTCTTCTGATCAACTCAGAGTTCAGATCAAACTTAATAACAAAATGCAAACACCAAAACCCTTCCAATCTTAGTTCAAGCAACCTGCCCATTTGTTGAGCCACATTAAGAATTTCACAATTACCCAAATTTTGTTCCTCACATGGCATAGAATGAATGATCATGATTCAATGAATGATCATGATTCATAGGAGATAACCTGCTGTATAAAATCAATATAATGAAGTGCACCACGCTTAAATTGGGTTCCGCCACCGGGGAATGTCAGATATTCACCAATAACTTTAACCCAATTTTGACTTCTTTTAAACTTTGCAAGCTTGGTATGAGGAACATTATGATACCATATCTGCAGGATAAAAAATATTCAGACATCAATCATATGTAATCAAGACTAAGTGAAAAATAAAACTCTTTTCTTAGCATGATAGTACACTACCTTGTCTCTACTTGTAGGCCACTTAATTGGGGGTTGATATCCTTCCGGATGCGGAACAAGGCAAGTGGGACGATCAACCGGACAGTGTCTCTCTCTGTGTTCATAATGCTTTGTACTTTTAAGGTTCTTGATTGCTTCCAAATTATCAAGGCACGGGATGAAATCTGGGCCAGCAGTGACATTGCAAAGTTTCCACTTGTATGCACTTTCTATATCAGATTCAGAAAACCTTTGGGCTTCCTTTGCATCAATTGATTCTGCTGCTTGATTTGAAAATGGCCCATTTTTTGTGAAAGTTTTATTCAAAAGATCATCTTGAGCACCTGAAGGGAAAGTGTCATCAGAATCGTCCTTTTTCTTACCTAACCCTTCAAAATCTTTTTTGTCACCAACCTTCCCTGTTTTGTAGTTGTCATTTGCTTCACCAAAAGTCTTTATAGGTTTCTTTTCGGTATCACCCTCATCATGCCCATTTTGTGCCAAAGTCTTATTCAAAAGATCATCTTGAGCCACTGAAGGGAAATTGTCATCGGAGTGTTCCATTTTCTTACCTAATCCTTCAAAATTGTTTCTGTCACCGACCTTTCCTATTTTGTAGTCGTCATTTGCTTCACCGGAAGTCTTTCTAGGTTTCTTTTTGGCATCACCCTCATCAGGTTTAATCGAATTTGAGCCTTCTCTGTTCTCCCCTTCTTGGATAGGCTTATTTTTACTCTGCTCTCCATCCAGATCCATCTCGTCCTCAGCACTCTCGTCTATTTTTCCATTGATTCCTTTAGCAGAGGTTTCCTTTTTTTCCTCAGCATTTGGTACATCCACATGTGCTCCTTTTTCAGCAGACTTGCTTTCACTACTCTCTCCGGCTTCATTTTTTCCTCTAGTCATCAGTTCTCCATTTTCCTTGTTTTCTTTCTTCTCAGTTTTCAAAGTCTTTGGTTCATTGCTGTTTTCTACTCTCGTCTTCTCCTCTGTCTCCGTGTCCTTGATTTCATCTGGGTTTTTTTCTGTTTCTCGGGAACTGGGAATGCTCTCCTTTTGAGTTACAGTGTCACCTTTATATGAAATTTCAGGTAAATCAGATGGAACATCGTCAAGTTGTATTGGTTTGGCCACATAAGTTGAGCTATTATTCTTGTTACTGGCCGCGTAGTTCCTATTGCTGCCACTTATATCCTCATTTGGACTGCTTACCTGAGTAAATGAGCCATTCCTGGTCTCCCGTGAAGGTAAGCCCATATTTTGTACAGGGACAACAGACACCGAGGTTGTCATCCACAGTCCAACTAAGCACATGACTATAAAAGCCACAATTGTCACTATGGAACAATAATTTGGTGATGGTTTCTTAGCATCAACCCTGGTGTACTTCCCCAAAGCCATTTTCCTTCTAGAATATGTAATGTGTGTTTCACCAACTTCCCGTCTTCACCTAAAACGTACAAAATAGACAATCAGATAGATCTTGTCAACCTCTTTTAGATTATTTTTCAATGGGTATTTACTATTTAATGTAAACACATTACATACTCCTTAAAATCAAGATTTAACAGTAGTGGTCGAAGTCTACATGCACTTGTTTTCCTAGGGGTACTACATGCCTAGTTCCGGAGGAGAAAAATGGAGCCAAAAGTATTTTTCCCATTAGCCAAAATGGATTACTTAGTACTGCTGCAAAAGGCCATATTTGGAAATTGGCTTATTAGCTTCTCCATCGAATAGGATGTGGATGTAATCATAAGCCCACGAAGAGGAGAAACATTAAAAGATGTGATTTACAAAAGAATATCACTAGGAGATATTAATGGATATTTTAGTGTTGAAGTGGGTACTGTAGCCGTAGGAAGTAACCTGCATTTTGTTACCCGGAGAAGATACATCCATGGATAGAGACAGGGATAGGGTGTGTAAAGAGCCCGTTTGTATGTATCCCATTGTACAAGATAACTCTAGAAGAGGTTTATAGTACTCCGCAGCAGCACCAATGACTCTTTACACCCAGCACCACCAATGACTCACCTATGGAAGAAGAGTCAAATGAGGAAGAAGTTCCTAACCAAGAACCTGAATAACAGTCAGAGCCCATTGTAGTTAGAACTTAGAAAGCAGAGATGAGACATTCAGAAGCCTGTTTGTTTCACTGGCATGGTAACATATGCACTTCTTGTTGATGATGATATTAGATCCATGTAACCAAAAGCTATTCAAAGTTTTGAAAGTGGCAGATGGGCAAGTGAAATGAAAGAGGAAATGCAGAGAAGAACGGGACATGTAAGTTCACACAACTACCGAGTAACGAAAGGTAAGAATGAAATTGGCCACAAATGAGTATTTAAAAAGAAAGAAGGATTTCCTGACAAATATCATGTTCTCTATAAGCAAGGTTGGTGGGTAAAAGCTTATGTTTGGTAGGAGGGAATTGATTATTATGAGATATTTCCTCTAATTGTTAAACATTCCTCTCTTGGAATTTTGTTGGCCTTGATAGCACAATCGAATTTGGAGCTAGCGCAACATAATGTGAAGACTGCATTCCTAAAATATGAGGAAATCTATATTACTAAACCAGATGGGTACAAGGTTGTTGGTAAGAAAATTGGATTTATAAACTTAGCAAATCATTGTAAGGACTAAAATACTCTACTAGATATTAGTACAGGTGAATTGACAAATTCATGAGGCGCTAGAAGTATAAGAGAAACACATACAACCATTGTGTGTATATGTGCAGACCTCAAGACAGTTCCTGATTGATATCTGAGACTCGGGTATAGAGAGAGAGAGAGAGAGAGTATGGTTGAGATGTGTGTATTTGTTGAGTGGATGACAACTCAAACCCCTCTCCGTACGTTGGATCAGATATTTATACTTATGCTACTCGTGGCGCATAGATCAATGGTTGAAAAAACCTTGGTGTATGGGCCGGCCCAACACGCTAGGTCTCTTCTAGAACCTTCTATAACCAAAACCCTTAAGCATTTGAAAATGCCTAAGTGTTATCGCTCTGAGTAGGTTCGACTACCGAGACATGGCTGAGGACAGCTCCCACACCTGGACCCACAAATGCGTCATTGGAAAGCGGATCCCTATTTCCTACTTGGCTGGGGCCGACCCCAAGGACATGGTGGCCGCCTTCCTTGTATTCGACCTGCTTGCTGAGATCTTCTCACTTGGACCCCAAGGGCTGCGGCATACTCTCCCTTGGACCGGATACACCTTGTCTAGGGTATCCATCAATTCTTACATCTACTTAATCTTATATGTTTGGGATATGTTGATTGCATCAAAGAGACAAATCGAGATTGAAAAATTGAAGGCTTATTTGAGTAAACAGTTCAAGATGACAGATTTAGGGGAGGCCAAAAACAATCTTGGGATGGAGATGAGAAGGGACAGAGAGAGGCAAGTTTTGGCTATCACAAAAGTAATATTTCAAGAAGGTACTTCAACATTACAAAACTCATAAGTACCTCACTTGCTATTCATAGGAGAAACGTTTGTTCTCATACACCCCATAGCATCATCAAGTTTCCAATTGCATTTGTATACATGACTTCTGTCAGGTATTCTCGCTCTTCATCAGTTGTCACGCATTACCCGCTACTCAGTTTCATGATCCATGAAAGGGTTAGTGGCAAACTGTGAAATAGATTTTAGGATACCTCTAAAATAACATAGATGTTGGATTGGCATTTGGCATTCGAGCGGGATAAATCACTTGGTCAATGCATAGTTGGATATTGTGATTCAAATTGTGCAGGTGATTTGGATATGAGATGATCTATAATTGGCTAATTGTTCGCTTTAGCAAAGAATCAAGTCTTTCAGGCACGGACACCAAAATCACAAAACACATTGATGTTGGGCATCATCCTATCATTTGTGCGGAAAATTGGATCTAGAAATGGGAAATAATTGCAAACAGGGCTTACCTTGAGGGCTTGCCGTTAACCTAAACAGAGATATTGCTACTGTACTTATGTAGAATTGTAGATAGAGTGAAAAAGTGAAAATAGAAAGCGGTGGTTTACCTGGTAGTGGAGGATCGGATCGGACCGGATGGGATCTGATGGGAATGAGGTGGAGGGGAAGATTGGCGGTATAAGAAGGAGATGGAAGTGCCGTGATGATGATGAACAGATTTTGCTAAATTCGGAGATTTCTTTACATCCAATCGGTACACCACTAGTGCTGGCGGTGGGCGTCATGCGAAGAACGCAGTCTACCGGCAACGGTCACGCGATATTTACATCTGCGTCCATATTTTGTGGCGAAAGTGACAAACCTATCTATTTGCTGGCTGGCAGCCATGAGAGAGTAGTCCCATTTCTTTCTTCCTTTCTGTTGCCTGGCTTCCGCGGTGATTGCGTCAGGAACGGTTTCGAAGCTCACTATTGTGTGCGTGGAGTGGCCTCCATCTTCTAACACTCTCCCTCCCTTTCTACCAAAATCTAATATATACTCCGTAATAAAATATTATTGTCACATTTTATTTTGTAGAATTTTTTATGTTATGTTATTTGTATTTTTTTCTATGATGTACCAATTTATATATAAACTAATTTTAAAAAAAGATATATGGAGTAACTCACATTGTTCAAAATGAGAAGTTCATTATTGGAGGGGAGAATATTTAGATTTGAGAAAATTTCTAATAAAAAATGAAAATAAATAGAATGAACTTGACTTGTTAGCATCTTATATTGCTCATGGTGTCATGCACAATGCACTTGATATCATTTGTTATAATGTCCTCAATTGTAAGTTATAGAGTACTTTGGACAATGGTCATACAAGACCAGTCCAAATTGTCAATACCGCCCATTATCCATAATGTCTTTTTATATTGGGTCTGCACGTCATCATGACTAACTCGATCTTTTTGACTTGTGAAGAAGAAGATTATATTCTAATCGTAACTCATCAGTAATAAGTAAAATATTTTCACTCTCTAGATGCTACATCTAACAAAAATTTTGGAATACATTGTTTTGACTTGAACTTTATTAATCTTATAGCGTAGGTAATCACTCTTAGGCCGAAATGGGGACACACAAACTATCTAGCAATGCCAAAAGTGAAACTAAGCCATCTTCAATGAAATTTTTAAAGGAGAGAAAAGATGTTCGTGTTAATATTAGAGATGAATGTCTGAGTAAATGTTCGATGAGGAACGAGAATGAGAGATGCTCATGAGTATCATTGCACAATGAACAAGTATGGTAATGTTTGTTTTTTGGTAGTCAGAATCAAATGCCAGGAATTGTGAATCCATCTTTGAGAAACTAAATTATAACTACATTAAATTCTCAAAATGACCCAGCAGTTATGTTTTTTCAAATTGGTCCCCAAAATTAACTAAAAATCGAGATGACACTCGTTAATTGAGAATAATGCTAAGTTTTATCTCCCGACTAACGACTATTGAAATGGCATTAAAATAATTCTAAACCTTATACTAATTTTCTGAAATGGTACTTTCTAAGTGGTGTTTTTTGAAATTACTCCATTTTCGAAATAAAAAAACATAAAATATGGAAAAACATTTTATTTTTTTATGATGAGAATAAAATAATAAAAACTATAAATATAATATTATAAATTTGAAAGTAAACATTTTATATTCTCATCCTAACAAATTTAAAATATTTTTCCATAATTGATATATATTTTTCCAAAAATTGACTTATTTGCGAAAACGTATCATTAGAAAGTACTCTGTAGCATTTTGGAAAGTAATACTCGTATAAGACTTAACGTCGTTTTAACGATCGTTAGTTGAGGGGGTTGAATTAAGCATTATTTTTAATTAACGAATTTCATCTCGGTAAGTATTAGGAACTAATTTAGAAAAATACATAGTTATTAGGAATTATTTTTGGAATTTACTTTTATAACTATTCATTTTTTCATTTTACACCCTTTTTAAATTGTACTCCGTATAAAAATAAGATTAATCTGAGGAGTGAATATTTTTTAAACTCAAACGGGAAATGGGCGAACGAGGGAGCCAATTCCGTCAACATCACTCAACCTCCCTCAGCCAACTTTTTGTTAAGTAAAGAAAAAGAAAAGGAACAAATACAAGGGATGAAGCAGCAGTAAAGATCAAACTCTTCTTCTTCTTGATCTCTCTTTTAGCAAATTCCTTTTGCTCCCATCCAATTTACAAGGTCAGCGGCACTCTCTCCTTCCCTTTTTTTATCATGGAATATTTATTTATATATTGACAGATCCTTACATAGCCAGAAAGATATGTACATATTGGTGACTGAACCCTAGAACAGTTATTGGTTGTATTTCAAAGGGCTATCTATGGGATCCATAGCCAGGATTTGGTGTGCAAATGAAAAAATTTATCTTCAAATCAGCTAATCTTTTTTAAATCATAGTATTCATATCACATGATCTCCGATGGAGCCAAAAGTTCACATGATCTTTTTTCTATCATCTCGAGCTAAAGATCCACTTTTTTTGCTTTGGGATATGATGGAATAAAGCCAGATGACTCTTTAGACTATGTGCGCTTATTTTGTAGTGAAGTAGTAATTAATCAATGCAATTTTTGACACTAATCATGGGTCATTTGGAAACAACCACTTTATGTTTTAAACATAGGCGGGAGCCTTTGAGGCACTGGGGCAATATTGTTGTTGTTGTTGTAGTAATTTGCATACCACATCTATGGATCAAAGCACATAAATGCTATACTTGTGCCTTATAAAAAGAGTGGTTTTGTTTCACTCAGTAAGGGGCAAGCCTGGGAAACTATAGAAATAGTTGTGCATCAAGGATTTCAAGTGCAAAGTGAACTGTTTTTTTGGATCCTAATATGACTCCTTTTTTGGACAAAAGTATGCAAATAAAACCTTTTTTTGGGACGAATGGTGCAAGAATAGTTTGTGTGTGGATTTTATTGGGATGTTGTTGTGTTATTAACCACGTGAAAATAAGTTCTTCCTTATAAAATAAGCCTTGTAATTTTTATAGTGAAGGAGATATACTTACATAATGGGAAACAAAGAATCAACATTTGATGACTCCCATGATGTTAATTTTCATCAAAGGCCAGAATATTCAAGAAGCGAACCGGGGATTGGATATCCATATCAGCCTACAGCATATACAGGACATTCAGGAAACACAATGGAAACTGGATATCCATATCAACCTACAACATTTACAAGACATTCTGGTGACACAAACTATAAAGAACAAGGTTCATCATATGTCGGAAGCTCAATTAACACTAATGATAAAAAGACACATCAAGGCACCTACATAGCTGATAACTTTAACTCTTTGGACCAGGTACTCTTGTTACAATATACTCTGCCCAGGTTTAGTTGTTCACATTCTACAATAGCTCAAAGTTGAATAAATGGTAATAAAATAACAAAAAGGCATCCTTCAAACTAGATTGTGCACCACCAATGACAACAATGTAAATATGCAATGTAAGGGATATTCTTTATAATTACTTCCTCCGTCCCATAAAGTCATTCTTGTTTTGACTTTTTTAGTCAATCAGTGACACCCTTTGACCATAAATTAAGTATAATTTAAATAAATAAATGCTGAATAAATTTGATAAAACAAACTATATCCTAACATGAACCTAATTATATTGAATTTACATCATAATTAAGTATACTTTTTTCACTATTTGTGGTCAAAGGGTGTAACTATTCGACTAAAAAAGTCAAAACATGAAAGAGTTTATGGGACGGAGGGAGTATTTGATAATGGTAAGTTGCAATGAAGCATGACGAAAGAGGCATGGCTTTGTCCACTTTTCTTTTTGTCCACTTTGTAAATGTATGATTTGCAAATTTGGATGCCACTTTTTCCAAAACTTGCAAACCTAAGGAACCTTTTATGTGCACACTGTAAACTTGCAAACTTGCTAATATAGCAAATTCAGATGCCTCGAAAAAGAAAAGTGGAGAGAGTGTGAAAGGAAGTGCTTTGGACACTTTGTCCAGGCAGTGGAGTAACTATCTACTGCTAGGTTTTGTAGAGGTGTCCCATATCTTTTTCATATTGTAATTCCTTTTTCCATCTTGAAATTCATTGATTGATCAAAACTAAGGGAAACGGAAAAAGAAAAGATACGAAAGACTGTAGGTCAGAAATAAAGATTGCAGAATATTAGCTTCTTGCAAATTGCAATTTATGAGCTTTGTTTTTTATAATGTTGTTTTTTAATGTGCCTTAGAGTAGTTAAGAGTGTTTCTGAATTGAGATTTGAGATTAGGATAGCCACCTAAGATCAAGCTAGGAGGAAATGTTTGATTGTTTATTTTCCTAGTAATTTAAAAATTATGTAGCATATGCTCCTCATGTACTTTATGTATCCATTTATGTTGTAGTTCTTAATACAATTCAATATGCTTTTAGGTAATGTTTGGTAGTGGCTCTTTCCCCGTGAGAGCACGTGTTATTTCTTCTAATAGTATGCATTTCAAGCATATAAACATTTGGGTTACTTATATGTTTAGGTGATTAATGCATTGAGAGAGGCAGGGCTTGAATCATCAAACTTAATTCTCGGAATAGATTTTACAAAAAGCAACGAGTGGACTGGTAAATTCTCCCTTCGGCATAATTATTTATACAATACTACCCTATTTCTATAACACTCCATCTACTCCGGCAGAGCCAAGGATTAACTATTTTTTGGCTTTCCGGTATGATGGAATAAAGCAAAATGACCCTTTAAATTGTGTGTGCTTCTTTTGATAGTGAAGTAGCCGTTAGTCACTGCAACTTTCGACACTCATCACGGGTCATCCAGAAACAGTTGCTCTATGTTTTAAACATAGGGAATTAGGCTGCGTACGTGATTATCCGTGGTTCTTGAGTCGAGGTCTATTTGGAAACAACCTCTCTACTTTCGAGTAGGGGTAAAGTTTGCGTACACACACCCTCCCCACCATACTTTTGTGGAAGTCAACTGGATTGTTGTTTTTGTTCTTGCACCGCGTTTCTATAAAAGAGTTCGCTTCCATAAATGTACAACATTTTAGTTTTGGCAAGGCACAATTCTTGAATGTCATGGAATCCGAGGCATTTTTTATAAAAATTTGATTTAACTACACTCATAATATGGAACTTGTATGTATTCTATAGTTCGTTTTTGGCATTTTTCAAAAGTTGCTTGAATAATGAGCTCTATTTCATGAAACAAGACTCTTTTCTCGGGATAAAAAAGACTTTTGAAATTGTGTTCTTTTTTTCAGAGTGAAAATATTAGTTTATTAGTAACTTTGTTTTCCTATAGAGAAGAATTATTGACAAAGTTAATGCTTGTAGGAAAATATTCATTCAATCATAAAAGTCTCCATGCAATTGGTAATACACCAAATCCGTATGAACAAGCAATCTCTATTGTTGGGAGAACTTTGTCTCCCTTTGATGAGGACAACTTAATACCTTGTTTTGGATTTGGTGATGGTTAGTCTTATTACTTTGCATTTATACTGCTTTTTCTTACACATTACCGGCCCTCAAAACGTGCTCCTATGTATTTTGACTTAACTTAGGATTTCATTCATCACCTTTTCAGCCACAACACATGATCAACATGTGTTTAGCTTTTTCCCTGACCACCGGCCATGTCACGGATTTGAGGAAGCTCTTGCACGATATAGAGAAATTGTCCCTTACCTAAAATTGGCAGGTTTGAAGCAATTCGTTTATCAGTTATATTATTTTACAGCTAAAAATGACTGAAATGACCGATAAATCCAAAATTTATGAATTTGTTGCTCTTAAGTATCTAAACAAAATACTCAAAATACAAAAATATTCACCAAAATGATTTTAAGAAAAAAGAGGCAAAAAATGAAGTATTGTCTGGTCAAAAACTTGTGGAGAAGCCAAAAATGAAGCCTGCCAAACAGGTTCTATGTCTGTGATCTTGATTCTCATGTTATATACTTTTTTGAAGGCCCAACTTCATTTGCACCTATTATTAATGCTGCCATTGATATAGTTGAAGCAAGCAACAGGCAGTACCATGTCCTTGTCATTATTGCAGATGGACAGGTATTGTTTTCAATTCTTTTTTTCTAATGTTCTGAACTGTTGACTTCATCTGCACTTCTTGCTTTAAATCAGGTTACCCGGAGCCGTGATACACCACCTGGCAAGCTTAGCAAGCAAGAGCATGATACTGTTGATTCTATAGTTGCTGCAAGGTAGACAAACTTTGATAGTCAATTAAATAAAAACTACAACAACAACCCAGTTGAATCCCACGAGAGTAGGGTCCAGGGAGAATGTTTGTACGCAGATCTTACCCTTATTCGAAAATAGAGAGAATTTTTCCAAAATTTAAAAAAAATTGCATTGCATGTTAATAAAAATGATCTCATTAGATGTATCTCGCAAATGACTTTCATTTTTTTAATTGCATTTAATATGCATTGTAATTTTTATTTGATTGATGATTCAACGGAGTGAGTGTAATACGGAGTTTATGGCATCGTTCTGTTTGACTTCCAATGTAATGCATATAGTGAATATCCTCTTTCAATAATTCTTGTTGGCGTGGGAGATGGTCCGTGGGATGAAATGCGCCAGTTTGATGATAACATTCCTCATCGAAATTTCGACAACTTTCAGGTACTACTTTCTGTCTTAACTGCCAACACCATGCATCTTTTTTTTTCAGAGTAAAATTTCACAATACATGCTGCGCTGCTTTGCAGTTTGTCAACTTCACATCAATCATGTCTAAACACATGGATACTGAAAAGAAGGAAGCAGCTTTTGCACTTGCTGCACTTATGGAAATTCCAATCCAGTACAGACTCGCCCAAAGTTTTCAAAGCACAGAGTAAGACCTTTTTTTGTGGGATTATACCGTGTTTTTTGTTGTTATGTTGTCTTGCAAATATTCACTGAACCAAAAGCTCAAGCTTATGGTTGGAGACTTGAAGGAGTTGAAGGCCCAGGAAATGTTTTATACTCTTAATTTTTTTCCCTGCAACTTGTGTAGGGGCAAAAAAGGTCCTCGCGCAAGGCCGCTTCCTCCTCCACGTGAAGTAATTGCTCATGATCAAGTTGCCAACTTGTTTCCACGTGCACCGAGCTCTGAACCAGCAGACCCTGTTGCTGCAGCAGAACAAGTATGTGTTTTATAAAATAACAAACCAGCGCATAATGCATAAGACTATGCATATGAGGTTCACCTTTTAAAGATGAAACAAATCAACATATAAGTTGTCCTACTTTAAAGTTGACATTTTGGGACAAAATCTCAGTGTTAAATGTACTTCTACATTGTAGTTTGAGTAGGCATAATTTTTTGAATTTAGTACTAATTTTGATGTGCATGAACAAAAAAAGGTTTGCCCCATCTGCTTGACAAATCCAAAGGACATGGCTTTTGGTTGCGGTCATCTGGTAAGGAAATTCCACCTTTTTTCTCTCATCATTGCCAAAATAATCCTAGTTAACCAGACAACAACCTTTGGATCAGACTTGCAGGGAATGTGGCGCCTCAATATCTCTATGTCCACTGTGTCGAGAGCCCATCAAAACTCGTATACGGTTGTACGGTTGATTTCCAGCCAGTCCAAAGATCTTCTTCTGTAATATATTGATCCATGAGGTAGCTAGCTTGTAAAATGAAAGTGTTACTTTAACCCCAATGATTGACACCAAAGTTGACACTATTAAAGAGAATAGAGAATCACACAGAGACAAGACAATCATTGTCTATGAGAATCACGCGTTTCACAAACACCAAAATGTTTGTGAAACACCGACGGTGTCAACCTATCTTGGCGTCATGTATGGTGTGACGGATAGCATGACCCCATTTATAAAGCCCGAAAGTGGGATGATGCTGCGATAATTACTTGTATGTTGTTCAATAGTTCCTTTTCTTTTTCAAATTATGTTCATTTGGACCGAAGAGTTTGAGGTCTTATGTAAATTCAAAATAAGTATGAAATTAAACCCGGAAAAATAATGAGTTTCGTTTGTGTATTTTGTAATTGTAACTCTCATTGAAACCTATTCTGTTTGTACATCTGGATAAATTTACTTACATTCGTGGTTGTTTTTTTGCAATTTTCTAGGATTGCTTGTTGTTACTTCAAAAGTGTTGTCTTTTTGTTTTTTACTTCGTGCTAATAAATTTTATCTAATTTTATTTTTACGGACTTTAAACAAGTTAACAAAAATTTTTCATAGTATGCATTTATTTAATTAGAGAAGAAGAGAATCTTGTAGGCATCATATTCCTTAGTAAAGAGAAATAAAATAGATGAGAAGTTTAATGAGAAAGAAATCTTTTTGAATTAACAATCCCGACAATTCACAAACACACCTAATAATAGAAAAAGTATCTCATATTCTCATACCCAAATTCATGTACATATGTGATATGTTCATACTCCATATTAAAATATTTTAATTTAAGTTATTGACTGTTGTTTCTTTAATATTGAATATCAATGTCATATTATAACATTGAATATCAAACTCATATTATAATATCGATATACTACGGTATTTCATTGGTCCAAAAGTTGTTTCTTTCCTATCTAATTTTTGAATCTTTTTATCCCTCATATGTAATCTTTATCTATTTCGCCTAAGTTGCATTTTACCGAAGGGTCATGCTAGGGTGCCACTACATGGGTGCTACCATGGGTGCATCCATGCTTCACACAGACAAACACAGACGATAATTGTCTATGCGACACAGACAATTATCGTCTGTGTTTGTTTGTGTGAAGCATGGTGGCACCCTAGCATTATTCTTTACCGAAACGGACAGAGGGGTTGCGGAGGAGTGCACGAGAGACAATGGGTTTGAGGTTAGAGGTAGGAATAATTTTTAAACAAGGGCAGAATGTGTGACAACAGGGGTAGGCAATTTTAATAGTGCTATTCAACTGGTGTAGGCTTTGACACCAATGGGGCAATTGGGGTAGCATTGATGCTTTAACACCGCCGGCAACCAACCACCGCCCCGCCCACCTCCCGTACCGACTAGCAATCAACTGTTAATGTTGGAATACAGGCCTACGCACATCCGAGCAGCATTCGCATATTAGCCTAGCGGAGTATGGGAAGGAGTTTGTCCCGGTCACCGTCTTACTCTAGGCGTAGATATTCTCGGTCCCGTTCGCCGGTCAATCACCGCCATGGCAGCCATAGAACCCGGCGGGACCGTAGCCGTTCACCTTACTCAAGCAGGCACGATCTTACGAATTCTAATTTTATGATTTTCGGTTTTTATCTTATTTTTTCAATCTATTTTCTTTTTCAACATTTGAAGCTGAAAATTGAATGTCCAACCGTTAGAGTGTATATAATTTTACAATGCCTAGTAATCTAATTACTTATTGGGTTGGGGAAGTATCAAGCATGCCCTGAAGTGGAAGTGGAAATTTGGGATTCAATAGCCGAAAGTTTCCACCTTCAATGTTCTATAAAAAGCCCTAAACATCAAGCATAGTTTCTAGGTTAGGGGATCATGATCTTCATATGAAGATTTTTACACCAATGAGTGAATGACCACCTCATAATTGAGGATTCTGTAAGGAGTCTGGATAAGGGTGATTTGATGTACCTGCTTGTCATACTCGCTAAAGTTGATATGGAAGGGTCCGGTTGGAAAGGGTTGTTTGGCTGAAATACCTGAAACTAGGTAGGTTTTAAGAGATTTTGAGTGTTTGATAATATCTATTTAAGTCAAATGAGCGGCGATGCATATCAGCAGAATAAATTGATACATTTGGCCTGTAAATGGATGAAAGTGTTTCACAATTTCTGAGCCGGGAGAACAAAGAAAAGAGATAGATGTGCCTTGACTCTTGAGGTAGAAATTATTATAGGTCCTATAATCAAATGCTTCTGAAGAAAATTGCAGATCTGTTAGTTGTCACCACTTCATTTCTTCAATGTTAATTAGACAATACAGCATGGCTTCAAAAAAATCTTTCTTTGCTATCAACTAACCACACTGTACTTATTTTATCAAAAAAAAAAAACAAGTAACCACACTTCTGTTTTACTTGTCTGTATTGCACAGGCGAAGAAGTCGTTCTCCCCCTTTAAGGCACAGAAGAAGTCGTTCCCCAACACTAAAACGCCACAGGAGAAGACAGAGTAGGAGTTCCTCCTTGGACTCTCCTCCACCTAGGTCTCGTAGTCCTAGTATTGCATCAGCTGAGCGTAGAAGTGCAGCGCAAAAGCTCAAAAAGGAGGAAGAAGAAAAGAAAAGGTACCTATTAATTTGTTTGGGGTTGATTTACTCATATGCATTTCTAACTTTGAGTTAAAAACGAGACTCAAGGTTCTTTGATCTCCATCTCGTTTGCACTCCCTATGTCCAAAATTTAATATATCATGTACTTTTTTCTTGGAGTTTTAGAAAAAGTGAAACTGTGTGGTTGAGATTTATGCAGAAGAGATAAATAATGTGAATCATTCAATGGTTTCTGGGATCAGATGAAAAGCTCTATTTCATAATATATGACATTTATGGATAGTTAAAGCTTTGCATATTAGAAAATAAATAAATATCAATTCAAAATTTGTTAATTATGGCTATTGTTTACTTCTATGAATACTACGTATTTATTTCCTTAGAATAGTTGTTTCCTTGTAAAATGCTTACTTATGTGGTCTTCTTAAGTTCTCATATATATTGTACATTCTGATTAATGAGAAGGCAAGTTATTCCGGTAAATAATTTCACATTGCAAAATTACTTTTTTGGAACAGAGGAAGTATTTTGCGATAGCCTTACATATTACGGAGTAGATCTTTTCTACTTGTATTTCCACCTGGAACTATAAAAGACATTCTGTTGTTTCTGTTGCTTTACAAGTGTTGTGTGTGTGATGGAGTATCTCACAACATGACTTGTTTAGACTTCAACAAGAGGCTGAGCTTAAGCGATTGGAAGAGGAGACTGCAAATAGATTGGAGGAAGAAATAAGGAGAAGGGTTGAAGAGCAGTTGGCTTCTGAGGAAGTTAAACTGGAAATAGAGAAACGAGTTGAAGAAGGTCAGAGAAAACTCTTTGAAGATGTTGAAGCTCAACTTCGAAAGGAAAAAGAAGATGTTCTTAATGAAGCAAGGCTTAAAGAAGTAAGAAGCTATTTACCAGCACCTTAATTTCAGTTTCTTCCACAGCTAATATGCGGAGTATAATCATTAGTTCTCATCATTGTTGTTTCCTCGACCTTTGTTATTCACTTTGCTATTTTTTACAACCAGTACATTACATGACTGATGGAATTGGGATCCATTTGGAATAGGAAAACACAAGGGAAAGAAAATTGAGGAGCGCATAGGGAAAATTTTGAAGGGATAGAAAATGTAGGGAAAACATCCATTGGTTCAAACTCAATAAATATATACCACGTCTACAATTCATCTGTTCAAACTCATTTTTATTTATGTATTTCCCCTATATAGAGACTGCAAAATTATGACAGTCCCTAGCATTTTCTTGGATCCAAACATTCCCTTGAGGCGTGTGTGTTTGATGGGAAGTGCTGGTTTTGAAATGAGTGAAACAGGAGCAAGCAAGAAAAGAGAGAGATGAGCTGGACAAGATGCTGGAGGAGAACCGGAGGAGAGTAGAAGAGGCTCAAAGAAAAGCTCTAGAACTTCAGCGTAAAGAGGATGACCGGCTTCGTGAGTTGGAGCTCATCCAAAGACAAAAAGGCGTTTGGCTTGGCAGGGGAGAGAAACAGCACTAGTACACTGCGTTTGATGCTATGGCTGAAAGAGGAACAATCCATTGATTTATATTACCTTTACACTTGAAGATCATCTCATCATCCCCCAAAAAACCCTCCCAAATCAGTGGAAAACTCAAAATGTTGCGTGGTTATTTATGGGCATATGGCAATTTCTTCTTCTTTTCTTTTTTCGATACACTGATGAATCCACACTTTACATAGAATGCTGCAATTGCTTGTTCCCTGATTTTTTTAATGGAAAATGCTTAATGTACTACATAAGCACACCATATTTACATCACACCTCAAATTTTAAATCATACAAATTTGTCTGCTTCATAGATCATTGTATATGAATATAGATGAAATTTGTCTATTTAGTTCAAAATTTGAGAGGTGTGTGATGTGCCTTTATCATTTTTCTTGTTTTGAGATTGTTTAAGGTGTTGTTTTGGTGATTTTTTTTTATAATGTGTGGGGATGAAGTCAAAGCAAGGGAATTTTTTTTAAAGTTTCACATATTAACTTTTTTTTATTATACACGGTACCAAAAATTGTAAGGTATGAAATTACCTTATTAAAAAATAATATTTAAAGTTTCACATATTACTTTTTTTATTACACTGTACCAAAATTTATGAGGTATGAAATTTCCTTACTAATAATTAATAATTTAAAATTAAGTTTCACATGTTACCTTTTTTTATTATACACGGTACCAATTTATATATTCTAAAATTGCATCAAAAATCCTACAAAATAAAAGGTGACAAGACTATATTTTTTATCAAATAACTCACGAAAATAGATAAAGAAATTGAATAAAGTTTGATCATGTGAATAATGACTGAGAAGGTCATTTTAGAATGGAGGGAGTATTTATTTCATAGATAGGCTTTCGTAAATAATGTCATTCAAATGATGATTAATTAAGAGATATTTTGGTGTTTGATAAATTTTGAATAAATTTTTAAAATGATCATTTCTAATGAAGTGATTTCCCAAAATGATTATTTCTAATCAAAGATGTGTATCTAATTTGAATTTTAACAAATTTTGTTTATAAGTTTTTAATAATTCATGATTATGTATAATCAATGTATTTTTTTAAATTTTACATTTAGTTGTGTAGAAATGGTCATTTCGAGAATACACTTTAAATTTAGATAATAAAAATACCAAAAAATTAGTTAATTAATCATCATTTGAATAATACTCCCTCCGTCCCAAAAAGAATGGTACATATTGACTTTTTGGTAAACTAAGGGAGGGATATTTTGTTGTTGACTTTCCAAAAATACCCTTGATGTAATGAATAGATTATTAGAAAAAAGGTATGATGTGATATGTAGGGTATGAAAAAGTAAGGGGTAAAAGTGATTTTTTAATAGAAATGTAACGGACTTTACAGGACACAGTTTTTTCGAAACGTGTCGGATTTTTTGGGACGGAGGGAGTATATTTTTACGAAAACTACCTAAAAAATAAATATCAATTATAAAAAACCACGTAAGTAATTAGAATTTTTTGAAGACTGAGTTAAAAACATAACTTATTACAAAAAACCATTTTGAAAAATTTACTCCTAAAAATATGTCAGGTATAAAATCAGAAATTTCATGAAATTTGACTCAAGTAAAAAAAACATTGAGAAGGAAAGACTTAATGGGATGGCGAGGTTAGGAAACATGGAAATGGGTTATGAAGACACTAAAAAAATATGATAACCAAATCAGAGACATTTCAACCAAGAAGATGTAGATCAAATGTTACTAAGGAGTAAGTATGATGATGTGATTATGTGAATGACTAAAAAAAAGTAGTTCAAAAATTGCAACTTATCCATAACCAGGCTTATAAAAGTACTTTCACCAATGCAGAAATAGAAGCAAGAAAGACCAAGTTATATTAAACAAAGAGATTGGGTCGGGAGGCCTTGTAGGTGGTCTTAAACTTGCGACTTGGGGGCCTCAGTTTCTTGAACACCAAAGGGAACTTAATTTCGGAGTTGTGGAACTGTTTGACGCTCTCTCTCTTGCAGAGAGAGTCAGGGATGGTGGCTGTCTTGATTATCTGGATGCAGTGTCGGCGGACCCTGTGACGGGAAGCCATCTCAGTATACATCTGATCCACCGCACCGTTCAAGGTTGTATCACGGAACTCCTTGTACATATTGTGGTACCCTGTCCTGCTTTGGTACCTCAACCATATCCCGTAGTTCTTGATCACTGTGGGGTTCTTCTCAAAGATCTAATGATATAAGAACAATCAGTTAGCAAACAAACACCGTGTATGAATCTTACCAAATGCAGATAAGGATGTAAGGCCGCCACACAGGCCATGACGCATAGCATTTAAGAATTGAGCTAAGTTGCACGGAGTCGGGGAGAGGCACTCATAGAAGGATGGGGTTGGGAATAGGGAAAACATACTCTTCCTAATTTTACAAAGGATTTAGGATCTGGGTGTCAGGAAGTTCACAAGTACTCAAACAGGGACATCTGTGGAACAGGAAGCAACACTTAATTAAAGAACCCGCGCAATATAAGAAATGTGAGCTTAGAGATCTTGAGTTCATGTAAAGTTGGGTCAAACTTTGTAACTTATCCAAGAAATGAATAGGATCTTGTCCTGGTCTGGAGTTAACATATTATATGTGAACCCAAAACCACAAATAAGTATTCCCCTTTGTCCCACAATCGTTAGGACATGGGAGAGTGACAACTGACTAGCAAATCTTGAAGAAGGGGAATTGTGTGGTTTGTCTTGCATTTGTAAAATATGAGTTGATTTGAGAGAGAAATCATTCCAAATGCGGCATAGGATTAATATTTTGGGACATGCCAAAATGGTAAAGGAGAGAAAAATAGCAAGAGAAGAGTATACACTATAGACATCGTAATATAAAAAAATAGTTAATCGAAGGATACAAATATATCAATTTTTGTTGTAACTTATATCAATTAAGCAAATTACACACACACTTTGATGTGCACAAAATATGGATTAAGAAAAAACCCATCTACCTTGTTATCATACACCCAAAATTTAGTTCAATTTCTAGTAGAATCATGCAACTTAAGACTTTAAAGCAACAGATTGATGGAACCTTAATGAACCCAACCCGAACCTGGAATGGACACATAATTTTTAGAGACGTTTTTAGGCTCGAAAAATTCAGACCCATACTTATTTAGGGTAGCGGATTCGGGCCACTCGCATACCCAAACTCAAAGCATCATCAAGACCTATATGAAGATGCATGAAGCACAGAAATAAAAACATTCAAGGCTAACTACTTGAAAGGAAAACTGGCAAGGATAGAGAATGACCTAAGAGAGAGTTTATAAACTACTCAGTAAGTTTCAGGGACAAGTATGGGCTTCAACATCTCCCTACTAATCAAGTAACAATACAGTACTGAATACTAACTACATAGAAGTCATGAGGGCAATCCATAATTTTATGGCACTTTAATTTGGTATATTGATTAACAATCTATAGCATCAAAATCATAGAACAATAAATGGATACCTCATTGATAGCTAGGACCTGACCATTGGACTTCTTAACCTTCTTCAGCTTCCTCAAAAAATACCTTTTTTGTACACAGAATATCAAAAAAAAAAATGGGAACAGGACAATAAAATCAATTAATTATCAAGATATGCACACACTGAGTGCAACTATTGATGCGTTATCGATCTGAGGAAGTAGGCGGGTTTCCTTAACAGAATTTGGACTTGGCGCAGACCTCATCCGTGGCCCAGAGCTTCATGCGGTACATCTTCGGATTCTCTTCGGACTCCGACGGGAGAGCTCTCCCGACGACCTGGTAATGATGGTACTGAACAACACAAAAAACACAATGACGGTCATTTCCGGACGGGAAAACATCAAAACAACAAGGGATGAACGAATGAAAACAGAGCAGAAAAGCTTACTTTGAAGGTCACCATCTTCGCCACAAGTTATGAACCCTCTCCCTCTCCCTCTCCCTCTCCCTCTCGCAGCTATGGAATTGTGTGAAATGACGGGTAAAAAGGGTGGTCTTGTTGGATACCCTAATAATCAGGCCGGGTCGGAAATGTGAGAATTGGCCTGTTCAAAATTAGTTGGTTGGGCCTATTGGAGTACTTGTATATTATGGGAGTAAAATTTGTGTTAAATTTGATTTTTTAAAACTATTTTTATAACGTTCTAACTATTAAAATATAAATTTATACATTTAATAAATTAACTTTTAAATATTAAAATAATGAACATATAACAATACCGAACTCTAAAAGTCGGAGAACCCTGCACATGTGCACATTTTCTAAACTGCCAATGCCTAATTCGAACAGATGTATGTTCCTTCGCACTTCGATAATGTGATACTTTGAAAAATGTAATACTCTTGGCCATTTCGATTCTTATCATTTAACTCTTTATGTTCTTTCAATATAAGGCTTTGAATATGAATATCTTTATTTATAGACATGTTCAAAAATAAAAATATTGATATTCAATTTATACGGAGTATAAAAAGCTGATATATTTTTCTTATACTCCGTAATTTGCATTCAAAATTTAAAAATTTTTGATCATGAAGCGTGTGTTGCAAAATTCTAAATTGAGTCTTGATTTTTTATTTCAACTTTTTAGTTAAAGTGCTTTTAACGTGGGCTTAGGGTCTAAAGTTTGTTTTATGAACATTCTCAAAATTATTAATAGTAATCCTTTCATCCCAAATTAATTTTTCTGTTTGATGTTAATAAGGTTAAAATTTATTTACTTTTTTTGTTATATTTGTTACTCATTTGATAAAATAATATAATCATATTACTCATTGTTTTGTATGTCATCGGGTGTAGTTTTTTAATATGTAAATTTTATTTTAAAATTTCACTTTAATCTTCACATAGATTATATTGAAATAGTTTCAGCCAAAAAGCGTAAATTAAAACATGCTATTTAAATTATGGGGAAGAGTAATTTTCAACCAAAAAAATATTCATCACAATAGTTAATGTTTATCTACTCCATCCATATGAGAGTCCACAATGGTAGACTTTACCCAACACAAGTCATTTTCTAAAAGTATTACCCTTTTAATACAAAATTGAGAATATCAAGAAACAAAACATTCTTGTTTAATTAATAAATCCTGTGTATCATAGTTTTGAAAATTAGACCGAAGTGGCAAATCGAGGGTTGAATAGGTTCGGTCTAATCCCTTAAACCGCTTCACAAAACAAACCATTTGAACCAGTCAAAGTCAAAGTGTCAAACCGTTTTTTTTGGGGTGGAAATTGGACAAAAATTATTACTCCATAACACTTCTAGAATTTAATTTAATCTCTTACATATCATGTCAAAATATCTACCAACTAAACAATAATGTTTTTCATACATTCTTGTGCAAAGTATAGTATATTCTGTAATTAAAATAGTAGTAATATTTACAACTCATATTAATACAGAGTACATGTCACGGAAAAAATTATCTAAATAATATACTTGGAAAATATTGGGCAAAATATATGAACAAATAAACACATTTTTTAATTTATAGAATATTTGTTATGTACATTTAAATCTGTAAATTTTAAATTTAAATTTAATTCCACTAATCAAACAAAATTAAATTCTTTATAACTTCGATCAAACATCATAATTTTTTATTTATAGATGAAAAAAGTTATTTTTATTACTCTCCGTTACAAATTGGATTACAATTTTTCATTTACAAGGCAAAGTCCTACATTTTTAAAATCAATTTATTTAATAAAATATACATGTAAAAAACAACGTCGAAAGTTATATAATACTCCGTACAAAAGATCGACAAAAATATTTTATTTTATCAAATAATAATCATCATCATCATAGTGATTAAAGAAAGGCCTGTGGTATATAAATAATGTGGGCGGGGAAAACTACACTCTCTGAAAGCCTTTGTCAATCCTATATCAGTAGTTGCTGTTACTATGTTCTTCGATTGTACAAATCCTAATGCCAAAACTCATCACTATAGTATAAGTATAACAATGAAGGGAGGGAAGAAGAGCATCATTCTAAACACACAAACAAAATTTTGCAGAGGGATATAATAATTGTTGTTGTATAGGGTAGGTGTACTTGGGGTGAGGAAGGAGAAATCTCAAGAGAGCTGGAGTGCTATTTGCTGGAGAAGTGCATTCTTTTGAGATGCGCTGATCACGCCTTTACATTCGGCCTCCACCAATACTTCTGTCATGATTGCCGCTGCATGCCCTCTTCTCCCCTCCAACCCCGACGTCCTTCTTAACATAAACACCTGCAAATTGAACTCATTTTATGTGCACATAGAGATTCAACCAGATTGCAATTTACAAACAAAGCATGTGAATAACACACAGTTTTGTCTACCAAACAAAGCACGTGAATACCCCCAACAAGAAATGTAAATCTTAAAAATCAATTCAGCCCACGGCAACTAGTTTATACCTGTCCATGGTGAGTGATCTCTATGCACCCCGGTTGCTGTATGAATGGCTCCCCATCAATTTGGACTGGGAAAGGACTGGAGACGTGTATCCTTATTGTGCCACCTTGGGCCAGTCTCCTTGCTTGAGAAAGCCCGACCTATAGAATCAACAAGTATGAACACGTGGATAGATATGCTCAACAAATAAACACCAGTAATTCAAAGCTTTAGATGACTATGTCTGGATCAGTCTATGAAAGAAGCCTCAAATAATATACTTCGATTTCTTATGTTTTTTTACAATTTTTCTTAAATTAGAATTATAACTTCTGTAACAAATATGCCAATTATTAATCATTTTCTCACCGGTCAATACTCAAATTTTTGGTATAAAGACTTCTTATTCAAAAAGGGTGATTTTATAATTGAACAATTCTTTTGTTTTGGATGACATGTTGAGACTACTTAGTAGTAATTGGGAAAATGAAAAGCCTTAATAAAAAACTAGTACAAAAACAAAACAACCAAAAGCCTTATAATCACTTTAATGAGGTCGGCTACACAAACCTAATGTAAACTTGTACTCCCTCCGTCCCATAAAATCCTTGATACTTTTTATTTCACAAAGACTAAGAAAATTCTTGAAAAGTAAAAAGTGTGGTTAGAATTTGTTTAGAGGAGAGAGAATAGTTGGTAGCCACATATTCATTACCAAAATTGGGAATAAAGTAGGTGTTTCTTTGTCTTTATAAGCTGGTCAAACTGCTTATAAACATTTTTTAATTTATAAGTGAGTTAATGACATGTTTCTGTGTGCTTATAAGTTGCTTATAAGCCAAAATAAGTAGGTCTTAGCTACTTATTTTTAAGCCAAGTTTTTCATTTCTCCGTTTTGACTACATTATTTACAGAATTGTTCCCCACTATTTATGAATATTTACAAATGACTTATCTATCATTTAAGTTATTATACTTTCACGAAAGAATATTTGACTTATAAGCAACTTATAAGTTAAAAACTGCTTTTTGGCAATAAGCCAATAAGCACCAAAGGAAAGTGTAAGGAATTTTATAGGACAGAGGGAATATGATACTTTGGTAATAGCACTGACAGCGTGTTCAGACATTGATGTATTCTCATTGAACCTCAAACATGAAAAAAATTAGCAGAATCATATTGCACGAGCACGATAAAATAACACTTATAACTAGACAATATCAATTTGAGTCTTAGGTAGACATTAAGCTTCAAATTAATAGGAAATAAAATGAACCAAATTATATAATATTATAAAGATTAGATTAGCAGATGGGAAGGACATACAGATTTAAGGTAAAAGATTTTTATTTATTATAACAAACTTGAAGGACACCACCGACCTGAAGTTTGCCAAGCTGCCAAGCTCCAGAAACACAAACAACTTCAAGCATTTTATCATGCATAGATTGATGCTCAAAGTCATTATCGTGCTCTAAATCATTTTGCCAGAGATCGACTCCACCCATATAGCTACCAATATTGAGCACAATCAGGCCCTCAGCATCCTATAAACAAACAAATAATGACTAGCTTACATTCGGAATCTGTACTAAGAAACATGAGCAACAAATTGGCTCCACACCCTGGGAATAGCTTACATTCGGAATCTGTATATCCTTCCCATCTACTTCAAGCCACACTTGCCACGGCAAATCTGCACAAGTTCTGTCCATTATATCCCTGGCACCTTCTTTTGCATATCGTAATTTATTCACAAACTGTTGGAGAATTGAATTAGTAGCAAGATCACATGACTAAAACTTTATAGTTTTAAGTACAGTATTCGAAAAGCAATTGGAAATGCAAGTAAAAGTGTTGCAATCCAATATTTAGAGTTTAAACGAGAAAAAATCAAATCCCTCCCCTTATATCTTAGTTTCACACACTCTTAACTATGGAGGTGGCATGAGTATTCCGTAAGGTGATTTAGGGCATTCGAGAGCCCTCTAGATTTTGAATATTGTAGGTCTATTGATTTGGGGGGGGGGGGGGG